ATAATACATGTAAGATCCTCTCACAGCACACAAATGTAAGTTTTCATATTCTTTTTTTTTTCTTTTTTTGGAGGTAAGGAAAGAGTGAGAACAGGATTTTGAGATGGCATAATCTGCATTTTCCACCCAAATCCTTCCTTTGAGCTCTAGGCCCATATAACATAATCCTTATAACAATTATATCAAATAACAGGTTAAAAATTACTGCCCTTGAGACTTGTGGTCTGGGCCTTCTGAGCTGCTCTGCTGCACCCTTGCATGGCAGCTCCCTGGTCTGCCCCATGGCATCTGACCTTTATTGTCCTTGAGCCCCCACACCTGTCCCACAATGGCCTCTGGCTCTGGGCAGACAGCTCCCTGTCATCTCCCATTGGTGGACCTGGCTCTCTGTTGCTGCCTCCTGTCCAAAGGTCTGCAGGAAGGGCACATCTGGCCTCTAGCAAAGTCCATCCTGCCACTGGAGTTCTCAAGGCTCTCCCTGTCCCTCTGAGGTTGCATTTCTGTCTTCCCTCTTCCATTCCTCCACCTCCACATTCTGTCTTTATTTTTCCTTCCCCATAGATGTATATGCATAAATTGTACCTATTTTGGGGCGGCGTTTGTGGCTCACAAGGGTGGGGTGCCAGTCCTATATGCCGGAGGTAGTGGGTTCAAACCCAGCCCTGGCCAAAAACTGCAAAAAAAAAAAAAAAAAAATTGTTCCCATCTTAAACACAGGTGGAAAGGAAAAGATTTAGCTCTTTTCTACGTCATAATTTTTTTTTTAGTTTTACCTTATGTTTTTTCCTTGAAAAACAACTCTGTACTTTAAAAGACTGATCTGCAGCCCTTCTCTTTGTTGTTAACTTTCTGCTCCCTTTTTGGGCTGCTAGGACCAGGTTTCTACCCCACCACTCTGCGGAAGCTCTTCCTAGTGGGCACTGGCTCCCTGGTTGCCAAATGCAGTGCCCTCTCTCAAGGCCTCACTTTACTTGATCTTTCCAAGACATTTAGTGTTGACCACTTCCTTCTTCATGAAGCCCTTCCCCCTTGGATTCTGGGATGCTGCTCTCCTCATTCTTATGCCAGTCCCGTCCACCTTCACCCTCAGCCACTCCTTCCTCTGCCCACTCACCTGACTTGTCTCCCTTTCACACTCTCCCATCTGCATGGTTTTAATTACCACACATTCTCAGGTTACTAGAAATCTGCATTTTCCACCCAAATCCTTCTTTTGACCTCTAGACCCACATAACATAATCCTTATAACAATTATATCAAATAATGCTATTTTCCACATTTATAGGTGAGGAAATTGAGGCTAAGAGAGGTAACCTATTTAAGATCAAGCAGTCAGTAGAAGAGCCAGATTTTAACCTCCATCTAAAATCAGGCCTTTAGCTCCATTAATTAGACATCTCCACCTGGTTATCTCAAGGGTGTATCAGGTATATCCCATACTGAATGCCATCTCATAATCCTGTTTTCACTCTTTCCTTACCCCCCCCCTAAAAAAGAAAAGAAAACTTACATTGTTAGTCTCTGTGAATGATATTCCTTCTGGTTACTCAAGCCAGGGTGTGTATAGGGGAGCTGACATGGACGTTTTCTTTCTCTCTGTCCACCTCACCTTGCTGCCCAAGGACCAGTTGCTGCTGGCTCTTCTTCATAAGCCTGACTTGTTGTCATCCCTCCTCTTCGCCTCCACTGCTACTGTCACAGTGAAGAGCTTTATCTCAGCCAGGGTATAATGACAGTCTAACCCTTTGCTTCTCAAATTTGCTGAAGAACCAGGGTTTCTTTTTTTTTTTCTTTTTAAGTTTTTACTCCCTTGCAGAAATTTTGTAGCAACTAAAAAATTATCATTAGAAAATTGATATGCAAAAAGACATGCAAAATGTAAGTTCCATTTTAAACATTAAATTCAGCAGATAAAATTACTCTAAATTGTTATAAAAGTTTTTGAACACTAATTTTCTATGTTATGTCCTGTCACAGATGGTGACAAATGGTGCTTGGACTGGCACTGCTCTACAGTCAGCATTGTGGAGCAGGAGTTCACAGTGTTTCATGAAAAGAAATTACTTCAGTTTTCTCAGATAACCACATGGGCCTCTGCTATTTAAAACTGAAACATTTCAACTAGGAGGTTTTTTGCTTTGGGCTTATAGTTAGCTTGTAAATAGGGATTTAAGAGATTTTAGACAATTCCCTATTTCTTTAGGGTCCCACCTTTCAGTAGGAGTAAATCCCATTAGAGCAAGCAGTGTTGTGTGTTACATTACAATTTAATGCTAAATTCAATGATGAAATTAATGTGTTTAAATTGAATGCACAGACTTAAGATTCAAACCAACATTTTCTTAAATAGGCTGGAAGTGCAGTCTTCATGGCCTACTGTGATGAAAATGATTCCCCTGATTTGATATTTAACTTGCAGTGAAGAAAATGCTTCTTATGTACAGTAAGCGATTGCAGATGGGCTGATGTGCTCCATTCTGAGGGATTAATATCTACATAGGGGGAACACTGGGTGTTAAATAATAGTCAGCTATCTGGATTTTGGCCGGGATCTGACTAAGCTCTTATCAGAAGATGTGACATTAAAATGTACAGACAGCAGGTGCTCAGTGGTCAGGTTGGGCAAGACCCCTTGGCTTTAAACAGGGCCTGGCTGAGGAATCAAAAAAACCCAGAAAAGTTCTAAGGGGACATAATTCAGGGATGGGAATGCTCTTATTAAGCTGAGACTCTACCCTTAGTTAGTTTAGAAATTTATTAAGTAAAATCCTACTGCCCAGAACCCTTGTTGTCTGCATGGGGTCTGACAGAAAATAGAGCCAATGGGGAAATGCTTGAGAGACCGTTATCTTCCCACATGAAGTTAAAACAAAAGTCAGAAAAGGCCTTGAAGATATTTTTAAATAAAATTAAGCAGCTAATCCGCAGCATTTTGCCAGGCACTAAATTCTGACCATTAAAAGTTTAAAAATAACTAAAGTAAAAATTTCAAATATGGTAGTTTCCATCATTGAAGTATGCGAGCCAAACACAATTAACTAATCAAAACTAAACTTGTTGCAAGAAGTTGGGTCACTATTGGAAGTTCAGGAGATTAAATTCCCCAAGTCAGGGTGTTACAGTCCTTCCTCTCACAGAGTGGATGGATGGCAGCTTGCTATGCCTGTACCTAGGAAGTGATTAAAAGTTTTATTCAAAGAAGACTTTTAAAGAAGTATAAGTTGTACAAAGTTCAGGCTTAGAGGAGGCAGGAAAAGGCAGCCTCACTGTGATTTGTCTGAACTCCAAAGCAAAAATGGGTAAGTGAAATGACTTTTTTTTTTTTTTTTAAAAAGATAACTTTTCTAAGTTCATATTGTACTAGGTTAAGCTGAGTTGTGGAATAGCAGGTTCTCACCAGGTGGACAGGGATGGGAAGAGAACAGAGAAGGAAGGGCATGTGGAAGACCTCAGGAGGTACAGCCTGGCTTCGCCTCCTCCATGTGTGCGCTTGGGACAGTGAGCACCCAGGGATGACCAGTGAGTGTTGCGGGATCTGAGCATAGGGCTTGGATCATTATGCTTCTCAAACTTTAGGGCACATTAATCACCTGAGGCTTTGCTAAAACTCATGTGTGGGGAGGAGACATAAGAGTTTGCTGTTCTTATGTGCTGCAGTTGCTACTTGGCCTCAGGCCCCATGCAGGCCCCATGGAGCACTTTGAGTAGCAAACTGTGAATTTTACTGTAATCTTATCAGTGCTTTGTTGTTTGGACTATGATTGCCACTGTTCAGTTGATTGAATAGTGCAGTCCTAGGTGGCTTTAAGTCAGCTTGGCCGTGCTGGTGGTGAAGTGGCTCTCAGCAGCTCCCTGCCTGCACTGTCTCTCATGTGGCTACAGGTCCTCATACTTCATAGGGGTCAGTTTGAGTGGGGAAGTGAGGTTTGTTGGAAAGAGCCTAAAGATTAGGAATCATGTTTTAGACCTGGACTCCAGTGTCAGTTTTATGATAAATAGTTGTGTGACTTTATGAAGATAACCCATTTTTATTTTCCTATTTTCCCCTATGTAAAATAGCTAGAATACTTACTATTTTATAGAATTGTTGTGAAGGTTAAAAATGATTTGTATAAAGTACTATGAAGGGAAAGGTTAATGGTTTCAATTTGATAACTTGAGATTCATTAAACACTAAAATTCTATAAATTTTAAATAAAGAACATTGAGTGGTCTAATCCTAGGAATTACTGATAAGTGTGGGCTTATTTACTCCTACTTTCTGAACCTTTTTATTCTCAGTGATTCTTGGTGGAGTGGAAGGTGTGGTTGGTGTGGCTTAAAGAACTCCCTGCTCCCCACCCAGAGCCCGTGATGCTTGGGGTATGGCCATCATAGTTAGGGCTAGGTTGCACCTCTAAGGCTGTGGTGTGAGAAACAGGTTGAATTATAAGTTCATCCAGTATTTGTGTTCTTTTGGGTAGCTGTCCCTCCAGCCCAGGAATAAGCACCAGGGAAAGTAGGACTCAGGGAATAAGCCCTCAAACACCCTTGAAACAAATTTGAGGCCTTTTGAGGAGGAATTTCTGGTATCCCAGGGCCCAGACTGTACAGGGGGCATGGATTTCAGTGGGCACATCCCTTTGGTTATAATGACTCTTTGCCCCTGGGGACAGACAAAGCCAGAGGCCACAGAAGGGCCCTCAAAAGCCCTGGATAGGGTCCCAGGTTGTTGGGCAGGAATGTGAAAAGGGGTTAGCATATAATCTCAGCTGCCCTTTTTTGATACTAGCCTGTTTATTTAGCTTTCTTGTTTCATGACTGGTGTCCTTTTATGTATGTTAGGGTTGTTAGTGGTTGACTCAGGCATGTCATAAGCATCTTATTTAATTCAGTTCTGAGATGGAAGTAAGTCCTAGTGATTTAAAGAAAGTTCTTAAGCTGACCGTGGTCTTGCTGGAATATGTGTTATTGTGAGCTTTGTTGCTAATTCCATTCCTTGTCCTGTTTTGGTTTTTTAGATCGGCTTCAGCTCCCCAGGAATATGATCGAAAACAGCATGTTTGAGGAAGAACCAGATGTGGTGGATTTAGCCAAAGAGCCTTGTCTACATCCACTAGAGCCTGACGAAGTGGAATACGAGCCCCGTGGTTCCCGGCTACTGGTCCGGGGACTCGGTGAGCATGAGGTGGACGAGGATGAGGAGGATTATGAGTCATCTGCAAAGCTGCTGGGCATGTCCTTCATGAACAGAAGCTCGGGTCTTCGGAATAGTGCAACCACCTACAGGCAGAGCCCAGACGGAGCCTGCTCAGCACTGTCTGCGAGGACCGTGGTGGTCTGTGCATTTGTTGTGGTGGCTGCTGTGTCTGTCATCATGGTGATTTACTTGCTGCCCAGATGCACCTTCACCAAAGAAGGCTGCCACAAACAGAGCCAGTCCTTGGAGTCCATTCAGCCAGTCGCAACAAACGGGAAGCCGTTTCCCTGGGCGCGAGTCAGGCTTCCCATGGCCATAATGCCCCTGCGCTATGAGCTCAGCCTGCACCCAAATCTGACCTCAATGACTTTCAAGGGCTCTGTGACAATTTCAGTTCATGCTCTTCAGGCCACATGGAATATCATTCTTCATAGCACAGGTCATAATATATCAAGAGTGACCTTTATGTCAGCAGTTTCAAGCCAAGAAAAGCAAGTTGAGATCCTAGAATATCCGTTTCATGAACAAATTGCTGTTGTTGCCCCGGAAGCCCTTCTAATGGGGCACAATTACACCTTGAAGATAGAGTATTCAGCAAATATATCTAGTTCTTACTATGGGTTTTATGGAATCTCCTACACAGCTGAAAACAACGAGAAAAAGTATGTAGCTCTCCTGTGCCCTTGGTCCTGTATTCTTTGATGGCCTCCACAGTAGGGGCTCTGTGTCCACACAAGACACTGTCATTTTTCTTAATTTAAAAAGTTATGTACAAGATAGTAAAGTGGTGATTTGGAGGGATATATGAGTTCTCTTAGAGCTTTGAGTGTACATAACATGGAATAGTTTGGGTATTTTGGGGAAGGAGATGGATTCGTGTAAAGATTACTCAAAAAGAGGCTCATCATCTCGAGCTTTTCATATTGTGTAAGGTGAATCTAGTTTCCCATCACCTCACAAGTTTCTGCCGGAAGCAGAGTACAGAAGGGTAATGTTTGTATTTTAAGGCCTGTTTTCTTAATGTGCAGAACTTTTAGGTGGGACTAGTCAAATGGAGAAAGAAGGCGTGAAGTGTCTATTTACACATACCATTTTTAGTACCCTTAATCTTTATTGTTTTTTTTTTTTAAATTACCAGTCTGACTATTTTGCATTTCAGATGGACATTTAAAAAAAAAGGCTAGTAGAAAATTTGGTTCAGAAGAGAAAAGATGAGACAAAACATCACATTATACAGCTCCCTTGGCGGTCATGGTGGCTCATGCCTGTCATCCCAGCCCTCTGGGAGGCTGAGGTGGATAAATATCTTGAGCTCAGGAGTTTGAGAGCAGCCTGAGAAAGAAGAATAAGACCCCGTATCTACTAAAAATAGAAAAACTAGCTGGGTTTTGTGGTGGGTGCCTGAAGTCCCAGCTACTCCGGAGGCTGAGGGTTAGAGTTAGGTTGCTGTGAGCTGTGATACACTCTGTCAAGGGCAACAAAGTAAGACTCTGTCTCCAAAAAAAAGAAAAAAAGATTATTTAGCTATCTATCTGGACCATATACCTTGTATTTGGACATTCATTACAGTATCGTGGATTTCTGGGGAGGTGCAGCATGTGCTGCATGCAGGTTTGTCATAAGTAGGATAACGTCAATTCTCAAGTGCTGCATGCACAGACCTCATTAGACCTGCTGAGTGCACAGAGCCTTGTTATACCTGCTGCATGCACAGAGCCCTATTACACCTGCTGTGTGCAGACGCAGCATTTTCTCTTGTTGCTCAGTAAACCAGTGTCCAAATTACTGGTTAAGGTTGGCTGTTTGGCTAATATTAATATATTAACATATGCTGATGTATTGAGAAGTAGTTAGAAATAAATATCTTAAATCTATCTCAAGGAAACTTTTTGATCCTTCTTAAATGGGGACAGAAACAAAACAAGACCTGTAGCTTATTTTTTTTCTTTTTTTTTTTTTAAGATAAGAAATTTTTGTTTTTTTCCCTTTATGTGATACTTTTAACACAATTGGCATGCTGGCTCTCATTTCAATTCCCACTGAAATTTGACTCTGAGCACAAGTTTATAGCCACAGTGGCCACTTGGGGGTTCTTGACCTTACTGGTTCTTCTCTGCTTTCTGTCATCTCTGGGAAATACAGGATAGACATAAAAAAAAAAATTCTTAGTGTGAGAAACAGACCTTTAAGAGAAGTTCCCTGGCCATGTCTTAGGTCAGGATTATTGTTCCTAGAATCCTTGGATTTGTCAGTCAAGTGGGTGGCAGCAGAAAAGGGTTTTTGGTATGGCCACCTGTTGTGTCTTACCATGGGCTGGGTTGAGTTGTGGAAAATGCCAGAAAAATGGATTATGATTTCTTAAAGTTAAGAAATAGTAATAAAAAATTAATATTTTAAAATCTGTTGAAATCAGACTATGAAACTCTACTGTCACAAAATATGTTTACTGGAACCTACCTGTTCCAGTAAAATGAATGCCCCACATAATCATACATGTTGGTGCCAACTAAAAATTTAAAAGATTTTTAAACCTTTCAGGATGCCTGAAAACTGTAATTCAAAGCAATTTTTTTGTCTTTCAATTTTGCTTAGTTCTGTTAGAGAAGTTTTTATGCATTTTCCTCATCTGAGATATAAATAGAATAAATATTTAAAGTGGTAGATGACTGGAGGCATAGTCCTTGTTAGTTGGAAAATCAGGGTGTATGTAAGTGTCATTGCTATGGTGAGGGAGCCTCACCTGTGTGACCTAAGAGGCGGAGACAGTAACCTTGGAGTTAAATCTAGAAGTTGTTGATCACAAACTGATACTAAAAATCTAGGAAACAAATTTGGATGATCACTATGTTTCAGCTGTCCCTTGTTTCTGGCAGATGTTTTATGATCTGGCCCCAGTTTTTTTTTCCCAAGTCCCACCTGCCATGTTGAACTTTGCATACATTTTCCAAAAACCAGATGATGATAATGGACAGTACACTGGAAACTAAAGTGCTAGTCACTGTTCCAAACTTGTGTGTAGTCTCATCCTGTTAACTCACTGAGGTAGATATTAATATATTTCACAAGTGAGGAAGAAGAGGCAGGTAAATGGGCTCATGGTGAACTTTGCGGCTGGCAAGTAGCAGAGGACTCAGATTCAAGGTCCTTTTGACGGCAGTGACTGCATTCTTAGCCAGTCCATGTGCTGCATCCCCAGGGCACAGCTTTTTCCCTTGCACTGTCATCCCAAGTGCTCAGTCCTCCATCCTGACCCCCTAGCTGGTTTGTGGTTGTTCTGAGCACTGCTTGAGGACATGCCATGCCAATACTCACCAAAGAAAGAATAAGCTTCAAGTTACTTGGCACAGATGGGAAACTGCAAGGACCACCAATATTTCATTTATCTTAGAATGTTATGATAGAATTTTTATTCAAAAGTGATGATCTAAGAGCCTAAGAATTTCAGGGTAGGGTAAAGAAATGGAGTGCCAGAAACAACACGTGTGTGTTTAACTTCTTTCACATGTTAGTTGCTGCCTTTCTTGCAGTTTACCCAGAAGAAATAGTTATTGTACACATCCTTACCTTTTTCTAAAGCACAATAATTTTAAGTGTGGAAGAAGAGTCCCAGCGATCTGGCACTTGCAGTGAGGCTCTGTGAAGAACTTCATGGGACAGGTAGTTTTTGTTACCTTGATTCTAACAAACATTCCGAGTATTGGTCAGGGGATCCTCTGTCAACCCTAACTTAACAAATGAGAAAATTAAGATATAGGTCACTGATCTGTCCAAAGTCTATGGCTGGTAAATTGTAGAGTTGTGCAGTTAGACAGTTAAGTTCATGAACTCACCCTAGAAAAGTTACTGCACAGCTCACTGCTGAATGTCACCGTGGTCACCTTGAAGTACTACCTGTGGGAAGCTATACGCTGATGCGAGCACTTCGTCCACTCTTAAAAGCAATTTTGGAACTTCTGTTCTGGAGTGGCCATCAAAGTTGTCATTGTACAAGGCATGACAATTAAGTTCATGAACTCATCTTAGAAAAAGTGCTTTGCAGGGTGGACTAGGCTAGTATTGGTGCATAGCTTTCCAAGGGGAGGTCTGTGCAGGTGACCATAGGTGACTTTCACCAAGGAGGAACAAAATATAGCACTTTTTCTAGGAGGAGTTCATGAATATAATTGATCTGTTATTACTTCAAATCTCTTACTTTCTTTTCCACTTCTAACAGTGGAAACTAAGCCCTGAGCAAGAAAAGCTACTGTCTCCATAGTGGCAGCTGCATACATAGTATGTGCCACCTGGGCTAGCACCTGGCAGGCCCGGTAGGCCCCCCACCATGATGGTTGCTCTGCGACTAACCGTATTTATGTTGCCTCCGAAATGCAGACGTGCTTTATTTCTCTACTTAATTGAAAGTCAGCATTTCCTCCATTTCTTTTCATGCTTTCTCCCTCAGCCTGTGATGGAGGACCTTTCTTTGTGCTTCTCAACTGTCTCTGCTGTTCAGGAAGGGGGGTAAAACTTTCAATTCATCTCCTAAGAGAGTAAAAGAAACAGGAATACTACAGGATACCTAGTTATTTCCATCTTCATAAAAGTGCAAGTTGGAAATTTGAGGTTTACTGTTTTGAGACAGAGTTTGTACAGGTGATAAGTGGTGAGGTAGGACCACTCCTTTTACTGATCTGCCATCAGAAACCTTTCAAGACTTGAGTAGCCAGCTGCACCTGTGTTCTGGTGATCTCAAGCCACACTGGATGACAGCACAGCCCTGCACACCACCGGCTGCCCTCTGTGAGGTGCCCGTACTCTGCTCTTCTCTGCTTTTCCAAATATTCATCTTTTAAGGCTCTCTTTAGATTTTGCACCAATTTCCTTACAGTGTCTTCAGCCTGTAGTTAGAATTTGTTTCCTATCCCTTGTTACCAGGGTGTTGTTTCCATTGTTAGGACATGATTTACAGCCTGTCCCTTGTATAAAACTCTGCTTTTCCCCCTTGATTGAAGATCCTTGAGGACTGGGACTGTACCATGTTTATCTTAGTATGCCCAGAACCTTGCAGGGTGCCTTGTAGGTAGGTACTCAGTAACTTGTGAATTGAATTTGCATCTCTTTTAGGTACTTCGCAGCAACTCAGTTTGAACCTCTGGCAGCAAGATCTGCTTTTCCTTGTTTTGATGAACCAGCATTTAAAGCCACCTTTATCATCAGGATCATAAGAGATGAGCAGTATACTGCTTTATCAAACATGCCCAAGGTACTGTTCTCCTCTAGTGTAAAGCCTTTGAGTGAGTCTTTTTCTTTAAAAACACTTGATCTGCTCTTTGCTAACCTGCTGTTAAAAATGTTTAAAATCATATATATTAATATTCTTCCTTAAAATACTTAAATAAAAATTAAGGTATATGTTGGGAATAAGTAAAAAGTCAACTGAGAAGTACATGAGGAAGAGAACCTGCCATAAGTGGAATGTGACAGCAGTGTGTGCTGTGTGATGGGAACTAAGGTCATGCAGATGTCAGTGCCCTGACCTGGCACCAGATAAGAGTCATCTTCCTCAGGCAGGGTGAATTTGCTTTTATAAACAGGGCTGTTTAATGGTGTTGAATTTTGATTGTTTTGGGTGTTCTGTTGGTAAATGAGCACTCACTGTTTTTGTGATTGACAACTAGAACAGCAGCCTCCTTGAAGCCAAGTAGAATTGTTTTCAAGCTAAGCAGAGCAAGGGGTCCTCCTTTTGTCTCAGACACTGCGGGGGTATGTGCAGCCTGACTGAGCCTCGTGGAGCCCCGTGGGAGGGACAGGACAGCCATACACAACAGGCTGTGGAACCAGCCCTGTGGGCAGCAGAGGATGTCTGCTCCCTACTCAGGCGGCTCCAAGTTGTACTCCAGCCCTGTTCTTCACCTCCTCCTAAGAGAGTCGGGTGCCTAGTTACCTAGAATACCAAAACTTATTCTAACTGGTGGTGGGGAAACCCTGTCTCTGTCCGCTGCATACTTCCCACCTTCTTCCTCGTCCCCTCAGCATAGACCTGTGGGGTGTCCTATAGTGCATGTGGGGGAGGGGGGCAGCTGCAGTTCCTTCTTCCTTGGATGTACTTGCTTTTTTTTTTTTTTTTTAGACAGAGCCTCAAGCTGTCCCCCTGGGTAGAGTGCCGTGGCATTACAGCTCACAGCAACCTCCAACTCCTGGGCTCAAGCGAGTTTCCTGTCTCCTGCCTCAGCCTCCCAAGTAGCTAGGACCACAGGCGCCCGCCACAACGCCCGGCTATTTTTTGGTTGCAGCTGTCATTGTTGTTTGGCAGGTCCGGGCTGGGGATTCGAACCCGCCACCTTAGGTGTACGTGGCTGGCACCTTAGCCGGTTGAGCTAGAGGCGCCGAGCCCCTTGGATGTACTTGTAGCAGCAAAGCAGATCACTCCCTTGTCATAGGAAGGTTTTGGTTTCAGGGTGTCATAGAGGGGAGAAGCAGGGCCTCTATTATTGCAGCTAATTTACATTTATTTAAAGTCATCTTTGAGTCTAAAAACTCCCTAAGGATCTTCAGCATACTCAGTGTATCCCTGTGAGGAAGGGTGGAAGGACAGGCTGAGAAGGGGCCAGTCTGGCTCCAGAAACCTATGTGGAGGGTTACAACAAGCCAGGCCCATCCCCACTTAAGTTCCATCTGAATTCTCGGTTTATCTGTCATCATAACTGAGTCCCAGAACTGTCATCTTTGCCCTTTGCTTGTAGAAATCTTCAGTCCTGATGGAAGATGGACTCATTCTGGATGAGTTTTCTGAGAGCGTGAAGATGAGCACTTACCTGGTGGCCTTCATCATTGGGGAGATAAAGAGCCTGAGCCAGGATGTGAACGGGACCCTGGTAGGTGCTCTGCTGATGGTTGCAAGGCTTATGAGGAGCCCTTGCCAACAGGTTCCTGGTAGTTGCTGTAGGAAGAAAACAAACTTTGAGAAAATTCTCTGACTTTATATCAGAAATGCTACTTTTTCCCCTTATACTTACTATTATTAATGTAATGCCTGAAAGTCAATTTTTAAGTTTCTTTTCATTTTACTTATAAATTATAAGAGAATTCTAGTAAGATAATAAAGCAGGCAGAGCTGCTTTACAGAGTGATGCTATACAATGTGATGGCTGTTCACTTTCTGTGACTATTTGGATTTAAATTAAAATTAAAGATGATGTGAATTCACTTCTGTAGTCTCCCCAGCTTCCTCTCAAGTGTTGGGCAGGGCTCATGTGGCTACAGTCACCACGTGAGGCAGGTCTGGTTGTAAAAGTTGGAGGAACCTTTTCTTCTTTTTAAAAGAAAATCAAGTCCTGACTGAGTTTCCTTATTTTAAAGTAAATAAAAACTTATTTTTTCAGTTTACCTTATGTTTTGCCAAAATTGATCACTTGTTCTTATTAGGCTTGCTCTGGTTAGAACCTGTCTGTAACTGATTATTTGATAGAATTTTATCCATAAATTTCATCATAAATCCCTAATAAAACTAATATTTTCATGTACTGACATTATAGAAGGAGAAAAGACTCTCTCTAATCGAAATATGATTATTCACAATGGAAATAGTAAATTTGAGAGTTTTGTTCCATTATTTTGATCCCCACCAGGAGAAATTGTCTACCTTTGCACACTGCTGGTTCAGGGTATGCCCCTTTTCTAGTTGGGAGAGCTGTGGTGACCACAACATACTTGAGTCTTATCATTCTCATACTTCAGAAGGTGATATTTCTCACATTAGCATAGATTACACAATCTACCCCTACCTCTTGGAAACAGAGACAGAGATTGGGTTTCTCTGGCTGTTTATCAGCAATAATATTCTGGACCTTTACCCTCTGCACTTACGGACAGCACAGGAAGTAATTGAGGGTTCGGTGGGGAGTGTGGAGGCCGTGTTCAGTAAGTGCTCATGGGAGAGTGTAGATGATTTGTCCAGTGAGTGCTTGGTGGGGGAGTTTGGATGCTGTAATCAGTGAGTGCTCAGTGGGGAGTCCTGGGGATCAAATTTGCCTGGTACGAAAAGATTAGAAGAGAGAAGGAAGGAGGTAAGTCAGACCTTGACTAGAGACTAGAAGAAAATGTAAAAACTAGAGGAAGAAACCAAACAAGCAAAGTCAGACCTCTACCCCTACCTCTTGGAAACAAGGACAGAGATTGGGTTACTCTGGCTATTTATCAGCAATAATACTCTGGGCCTTTACCCCTCTGCACTTAGGGACAGCACAGGAAGTAATTGAGGGTTCGGTGGGGAGTGTGGAGGCCGTGTTCACTAAGTGCTCATGGGGGAGTGTGAATGCCATGTTCAGTGGATGCTTGGTGGAGTTTACTCACCTTTGGACTGGAAGATTTCATTTCAAGTTTATACCAAAAAAAATTTTTTTTTAATTTTTTCAAAAGGATATTAAGCCTGTTTTAAACCTGAAATAATTCAATTAATTCCACTTCAATTGTTGCACCACAAAAGTAGCCCTTGATTCTGAGTCTACAGCCTTGATAAAGCCTCAAGCCCAATGCAGAAGATTCAGTTCTACCTCTTATTCAAGATGCAGCTGGATACCACACTCTCCCTGAAGCTTTTCCCCAGCTAGAATTAATCATTCCCTCTCTGATTTTTCATGGCGTTTACATCTTTGTTGTGGTTCTTATAACCCTCATTGGTATAAAACCTCAGCACTTTTTATTGTATCCCAGAATGTCTGAGTCTTGTGTCTTTCTTTTTTTCCTCTTGCCTCCCCTCTTCTCCTTCTCTCTTTCTTTCTCCCTCTCTCTGTCTTTCATCTGCTGTGTTGGCTTCTGTTTGCCTGTAGGCAAACACTCAACTCATCATTCTGGTGCTCAGACTTGGCCTGTCAACTCATCTACATGTGGTATTTCTGCTTCCATGTGTCCTTTCGTCTGGCCAAGCTGGGCTGTCTGTTGCTCACATGTACACTTCATTCTTGTGTGCATGTGCATCTACACATACATATATAGAAAGACATTCATAGACAAGAGTTTCACCTAATTTTTTTTTTTTCGGCTTCTTACCTGCATTAAGAAGCAACATGGTTAAGTGTGGGTTCTAGAATCTATGTTCAGATCCCTCCTACACATCTCCCAGCTCTGCCTGCTTAGAGAAACTGCTGATTTTCTCTAAACCTTGCTTTCTACAACTCCAATAATATATTGCCTACATTAGCTCTACATTAGTTGAGGATTAAATGTTTAAAATTCTTATGAAATAGTGAGTGTCTGATATGTGTGTCTGTGTGTATATACACGTACATATGTGTGTGTGCACTTATTCTTAGAGTGCACACTTCCTGTCTTCCATATTTCCATATGAAAAGTCTATTCTGAAAGCTTTTGCATATCAATAAAGATAAATATTTATTATTTTTAATGTTACCTGATTTTTAAAAGTTTTGAAAAAATTAGCATTATATAAATCAGTATTTCTATTAATTTCCTCCCCTTAGGAAATAGGGAAGGATATAACATGCATGGAGTTACACTCCATGCTGGCAGTGGTCCAAGGCACTCATTTATAGGCACTTTTTAATTTTAAAACCTAAGGAGGGTTCAGCGCACGTAGCACAGTGGTTACAGTGCCAGCCACATATATCGAGGGTGGTGGGTTCGAACCCAGCCTGGGCCAGCTAAGTAACAATGACAACTGCAACAAAAAATAGCTGGGTGTTGTGGCAAGTGTCTATAGTCCCAGCTACTTGGAAGGCTGTCAAGAAACTCCCTTAAGCCCAAGAGTTGGAGGTTGCTATGAGCTGTGATGCCACGGTACTCTACCAAGAGCCACATAGTAAGACTCTGTCTCAGAAAAAAAAAAAAAAATACAAAAACCTAATGAGGAGGAGGCATGCATGTTGGTGATTAGGAGAAAGAGGTTAAGTAATTGACCTAAGATTACATACCCAGTAAGTGATAGTCAAAATTGTTTTGTCCATCATAATATATTGCTTCAAGCAATAATTTGGTAACAAATAATTTCTAGAGGTATGGTGACAAGAATTTCAAATCTTGGAGTCCAACAAAAGATTTTTGTTGTGCTTAAACCTTGTGACCTCTAGGATGGCGTCTGTTTTGCAGTATTTGACTGCAGGTTGATTTAACAACTTCAGAAATAAGGCAGTAAGGCCCTACTTATAAAGTCAATCTTACTGAACAACTAAAAATGTCAATGCTGACTGTAGGTTCCTACATGTATCCTGTTCAGTGATGCAGACTGCTGTGCTGTCACAGACCTAAACAGGGGACACTTACTGCATCATTTCTGATCCTTCCTCATTCTTTAGTCCTTTCCCCGCCTTCAGGAATGCCAGAATTACCTAGAAAAGTCCAGGCCAGTTGTGAAATACACTGCTTTATCTGTTTGTCTTGATGTTTTTGTTTTGTTGTGGGTTTTTTGCCACTGCTGCTTTTGTTTTTACTGTAGTCAAGTGTCACTTGTAGAGACAGGATCTACAACTGACCCGTTCCACATCTGACCTTCAGAACCTCCAACAGTATTATCTGTGTGGAATTATGATTTTATTTTAATCAGAAATATGATTTTGTTTCAAATTTTCCCTAAAAATATTTCTATCTCAAGTACCTTTCCACCAGCTAGGGACTTTGTGCACAATTTGTATCCTTCTTCCAAACTCTTATATAATCGGTTATTGGGAAAGAAACAGTATTTTGGTACTGTATTTGATACTGTTTCTTTGTATCTTTGTGGGTTTTTTTCTATTTTTTTATTTAATTTTTTTTTTAACTTAAAATTGTTTTGTGTGGCCTGTTATCTATTTAGGAAGGCTGGTGTTTTTCAGGGAATTTAGTTTTGAAGCTTCCAGTATTTTCTACCTTTGTAAATCTTATAGACTATATTATTGTCCTTTTTAGAGGATTTAGGTTTGGTTCTGATTTTTTTTTTTCTTTTCTTAACTAGTTTGGTATGTATTAAATTAACAAATCTTTTATTCCTCAGTCTTAAAGGATTCTTTTCTGCAAGGGCTGACCAGGGATCTTTGTAGCTGTGTTTTTAGAAATCTTCTATATAGTCTTTACAAGAGATGGTGGTAAGAAAAGTTTCAAATTGTAAATCTTAAGCCGAAAGTGCCAATTGATTTTTTATTTAACACTGTTTTGAGCACTTTTATCAACCCCAGAATTCTGTTTATGACTTTCTTTGCTGAGCTAGATTTTTCTCTTTATTTCTTAATGGTTTTGTTGCTCTTAGAACAAGCTACAAGATAATTATAATGATTTATCCTTAGAAAGAACTCATAACACATTTTTATTAAGAAAAAAATAAAGAAGCAGAAAGAAAGAGAAAATATCAAACTACCTTTATTCCTAATCATTGGATTCCAAAGATGGGAATGAGTGGATGTTTTGGTCAGATTTTAGTTTTCGTGGTCTTTTTATCTCTGCGACTTGTTCTCTATTGAAGGTGCTTGCACATACAGTGACAGGAGTGGCCAGATGGTGTGTGCAGCAGAGGAGTGAGGAGGAATCAGGGTGTAGGAGGTGTGTCTATTGGGATAGCAGCTTCTGGACGACTGGGTTGAATGTACCATAAAATAGTGTGCCTGGAAAGAATAGGTGAAGATGATAAGGACTTGCCTTAAATTCCAAGTGAACTTGGTACTATCATTTACAGTGATAAGGATTTTGAAAAGATTGTCAGTCAGGCTTTTTAATTTAAGGCTAAAACTGATGTCAGTAGAAGGGGAAGGATGCAGAGAATGCTCTCGTCAGCAGGATCAATGTGTTGTGTCCTTCGCAGGTGCTGACCAAATTTAGGGAGCTGTGGCCACAGCCCTGGACCAAGGGCTGCAGATAGTAGCAAATTGGACTGCTAAAGTACACTTCACCACATAGTCTGGAGAGCAGATTTCTGCTGTTACTTTAGAAAGCAACTAAAGTAACTTAACTGGTTAACTACATTCTAGATACTTAGTTCTCACAGTAACTGTTGCCACATATGTTTTTATCCTATGTATTTATTCTATATATGAATAGAGTCTACTTGTAATAATGGTAATTAATAACTAGTATTTCTTGAACACTTACATTATGACATGTACTAATCTAAGTCCTATACATAGATTAGCTCATTTAATCCTTATGGCAACCCTATGAGGGTAGAATCTGCTTTTATCACTGTTTTATAGATAAGGAAACTGAAGTTAAGTAACCTCCTCAAAGTCATACAGGTAGCAGAGATTGGAACTATAGCACTTTAACTAAATTAACTTTTTGTTCATTATTTAAATTTTGTTTCTTTATACATGTTTAGCTTTTATGCCATGTTACCTCCATTTTTCTTTGATTAATGTGTATGTTCTGTAGACTGCAGCCTCACATAAAGTCAATTGTATTTGAAATCTGTGTGACCTCTTAGAAATCATTGACAATTTTTTTATTCTTGAATGAGAAAGTGAAATTGATGTGGAGTCAGAGCTCACCAGTGTACTTTTCCCAAGTGATGAGCTGCTCCACAAGTTTCCATTTCCTACCCATCTTCATTTTAAGGATTTAAAGTGATCATTTAAGTGATCTTCATTTTAAGGATTTCATTTTCTTCTGTGTCCACATCCCACTTTCCCAGCTGAGTATAGAGGGCTTTTTTCAATCAATTGAAAAACAATAGATACTGCTTTTTAAAACCCATTGCTTCTAATACAGTTGTTTAAATTTTGCCTTTTGGTACTTACTGAATAAGATGTTTACTGTTAGTCATACCATATGTGTTTAACTTATGCACTTAGGGAAAAATGGAGAAGGAAAAAATAGCAGTTTAAGTAATGGGGGTGGATTCATTTGCTTTTCCTTTTAGCACATGCCCTTGAGTGAGTAGGCAGTGGAAGACAGTCTGTTTTTTCTTAGTTGGTTTTAGTTATTGTATTCCCTACTGAGTGTGGAGCATTTCCCTGTATGATAATTTTGTATACAACATGGTCCATAAAATAAGCTAACAACTAAGAAAAAAAAGTAAGCTGTATAAGAAAATTGGCCATGTCACTCTTGCTGAAAGAGGACATGGTGATCTCTAGTCAGTTTTATCAGGGAAATTTCAACAAAAATGCACTTTGTGCCATCTCTGCTAACTTGAGAACTAACTCCATCCTAGCTGTGCCTCCTGCAGTGAGCGTCTGCTGGAGGCCACACTGCGATAGGTGCTAAGGACACTGAATTTAATTCTGACCCTTAGATAACTCAATATTCACAGTTTGTTAGTGAGGGAGAGTAACTGAAGGTTAATGGGACAGAAAGAGAAGAATATCATGAAGTTGAAAGAGTAAATGCTTATAAATTGCCGTAGGATGACCCTGACAGGACAGTGCACAAGAGCGTCCCCCTGACAGTTCATACAGGTGCATGCAGCTCTCAGCTGATGCTTCTCTGGACAGCGCTCACCACATCATGGCGTTCTGTTTGCCCCTGTCCTTACCTCATACGTGATGTTGCCCTTTAGGTTTCCATTTATGCTGTACCAGAGAAGATTGGTCAAGTTCACCATGCCTTGGAAACAGCTGTGAAGCTTCTTGAGTTTTATCAAAACTACTTTGAAATTCAGTATCCACTGAAGAAATTAGGTAAGAATCAAACAGTCCCTCTGATTTTTGTTACAATTACAGTCTACATTTATTTTATAAATGTTTTTTGAAAGAAATTTTATCCAAGTTTCTTTAAAAGAAAACCAATAAACATCATTAATGCTTTAAAAATTGTAATTGTTAAGATGATTTTGATTTCGTGAATGTATCTGAAGAGTTTGTAGAATGGTTACAGAGGTGCTGTGTAAGTGCAAACTTGCTTAGGACTTAGTCTGGAGTTTAACTAATTCTAACTTTCAAAAAATTCCTGATTCAAATAAGGAAAACTGAGAAAGGGGGCTGAGTAAGGCAGGGGGATCTCACTACTGTTCACCAAGGACCTGGTCCCAGATGGGGAGGACTGCCGAGGCACTCTGTCCTCCTTGCTCTAGGAAGTTGATTCTTCATAAAGGAGTAAGGTCCCTTTTTCTTCACTAGGGGACAGTGGAACAGTGACAGTTTGATGGGGGTTTTCCTATGAGGAGCTCACTGAACTGGAATAAGGAAGATTCTATTTGTTAGCAGTATGAAAAGAATTTACTGCCTTCATAGTGACAAAGCACTGTGTAAAATATTTCAGTTCAGTGCTAAGGAGTACCTGGAGCTGAAGGGGAAGCTGATTGCTCTTTCCTGTTGTATCTAGATCTGGTGGCTATTCCCGACTTTGAAGCAGGTGCAATGGAGAATTGGGGTTTGCTCACCTTCCGAGAAGAGACACTTCTGTATGACAACAACACTTCTTCAGTGGCGGATAGAAAACTGGTTACTAAAATCATCGCTCATGAGCTGGCCCATCAGGTATTAGCAGCCAAGGGTCTTATGTCTTGTACATGAAGTGGTGGGGTTCTAGGATGGATTTAGATGATGATAATTATTCAGTTTTTTTATTTCGCATTACATTCTTTAATAGTAAAGCAATAGATTTTTAATACAAACTTAATTTTCAGATGAAGATGTTTTAAAATTGTTTATATAGACTTTATAGTTTAAGGTATTTTCACATCTTTATTTCAATTCACAAGTGCTCCAGGTGGCTGATAATCCCATTTTACAGTTGTGAAAACAGACTCAACTTAAATAAGTGATTTTCCCAGAGGTCACACAGCTAGTAGGTGTCAGCATAGGCCCTTGAAGAGCTGCTGTCTTCTCTGGATATCCTTGTCCCTCCATCACACACAGCTGCTCCATGTACCTCTGTGGCGAGGAACCTTCCCATCCCTAAGCTGCGCTCCAGCCTGAGCTCTTGAGCTGCAGTTGTCAGGACAGGGTTTACTTTTCCATCTCCTTTAGGACCTAGGTGCTCTATTAATTTGAGAGAGTGGTTTTCAGAAAAGGGCAACAGTACTTTTTATATGACATGGACAGAAAGAAAATCTTAGCCAGGCCTTGTGGCAGGCAGCTGAAGTGTCAGCTACTTGGGAGGCTGAGGCAGGAGGATCACTTGAGCCCAGGAGTTTGAATTTGCTTTGAACTACGATGATGCCATAGCACTTTAGCCTGGGCGACACAGCAAGACCCCGTCTTAGAAAAGAAAAAAGGGAAAGGAAAGGGAAAAGAAAATAAATCATGGCACATAACACCCCATTTCTTCTCAGCACCTTGTCTCTGATGCATGTGAAGGACGACTTGAGCGGACTCTGGCCAGCCCTCGACCTCAGACATAGGTGATCTGACCAGAGCCCTTGTGAGGCTTCCCAACAAGCTGACACATGAAACACGTGCTTATTTACTTTTATGAGTGGGTCATATGGATAAGTTGTCTTTTGGGAGATCTCTATGTATGTTAGTTCTGGAACCAACCATCACCACTAGGGGAATATTATTCTTTATTGCTTTAGGACTTACAACTCACCTTCCTCTGAAACAGATTTTGAGGTAATATTTTAGAAAAATATGCTATTATAATTCTCAAAAGTATTTCATTTTAACATCTAGTAACTCCATCCTTTTGAAGCTGATTTGAGATAAGCTTTAAGCTGCATTAACTGAAGTGCATACTCTATGACCACTTTTTATTTCCAGAATTTTTGAGATGCAGTTTTTAGGACACTCTCTGATTATTTTTTCCATCTATTTTGAAGAAAACATTTAAAGGTCTTTCTGATTTTGTCTGTTTCTATATACACCAACTTTCTTTTCTTTTTTTTTTGGAGACACAGTCTCACTATATTACCCTCAGTAGAGTGCTGTGGTGTCACAGCTTACAGCAACCTCAAACACTTAGGCTTAAGCAATTCTCTTGCCTCAGCCTCCCAAGTGGCTGGGACTACAGGCACCTGCCACAGCACCCTGCTATTTTTTGTTATAGTTGTCATTGTTGTTTTAGCTGGCCTGGGCTGGTTTTGAACCCACCAAGTTTGGTGTAGGTGGTCGGCACCCTAACCACTGAGCTGCAGATGCTGAGCCTATATACACCAACTTTCATAAGAAATGTTACTTGGATTCCAGTTTGATTTACAAAAATATCATCTTCATCTTGGGCACCTGCTGGGGAGCATGAAGCATGGTCTATCCTGGTAGGAGGCCTCTCACATCCACACTTAATTTCTAGTTGTCATGGATAGTTGTGGAGACAATAGAAAATAACCTTATTAAATAGAAGGTAGAAGAATTTCACTATCTGGAAAATCTCACTTTTATGCATTGACTAAAAAATGTTTTTATTTCCCTATGTGGGCTAGATAGAATGTTTATTAAATTGACAAATATGCTAATAAATTTCAGTAGTCTTTCATGCTTGCTTTCCCATGTAATTAAGGTAAAATGTTAAATTTCTATTTTTACTTTTAAAGTAAATTTATATAACTTGTATTAAGTTTTAAATTAATTTGAATTTAGTTTAACTATAATTCCAATGTATTTTTAAGATCCCATCTAGCTATAGACTCTAGCTATGAACAGTTAATCTGACAATTTAGCCAATTAGTAGAAAATTCCTGAGGATATAAATATTATGTTGGTTAATAGTTTATATTCCATCACAGTGGTTTGGTAACCTGGTAACAATGCGTTGGTGGAATGACTTGTGGCTAAATGAAGGTTTTGCTACCTTTATGGAGTATTTTTCATTGGAAAAGATGTTCAAAGAGCTCTCCAGTGTAAGTATGTTGCAAATTGTCAACTCACGTTTGTCATGTATTTTTTTTGACTTTAAGTAATGAAAATGTTTCTAAGAAGGTGTGATAAAATTGACCTTTATTGCTGTTACCAATACCTTTTGAGATTAGACAATGAAAATGATACTTTTATTTATTGATGTATTTTGTTGAAAGATGAAATTATAGAAGTTTATTTTATACTTTTGTGATTATGATGAACATTTTATACTGCTTTGCTATATTTTATTTTTTAACAGATATGGCCCTTCTGCTTGAAGACATTTAGATGAAGTGGAAAAGACAAAATATTTTTATCATGTATATAAAGAAAAAAAACTGAAGACATTTCATAGCAGTGCTATTTATTACATGTGCCACTGTCTGCATTCTATAATAGGGATAATTTGCCCTTTTTAGGTACAAACCGTATTTTGTGCCCTTTTCCAAAGACTTGAAATTATGTTTCATTACAGAGAGGCACCATAGTGTTGTCACTATGTTATTAGACTCTCTGGAGGTATTTCCTATACTTAAGGATATTTGGGCACACCAGGCCATGATATGGCAGGTACTGACAAATAATTCAAATAACAGTTGGGAAAGTATAAAGATCCCTTTCAATCCTGAAATTCTGTGATTTTCCATGAAACTTCCTGTCTGATCCAAGACTAGTTTAAAACATAAATATTCTTAGAACTTTCCATTTGAAATTTCTGTATAGGGCTTTTCAGAACTTTCAAGAAGTAGGAGGAATTAATTTTTAGCTAGAATACGAAGCAAGTTACTTTAAATCTGTGTATGCTGCTTAGTTAAGTGATGAGATACACAGTTTCACCACTTGGTGGTGCCCAGAGTGTTTAAAAACTTCTATACTTCAGGGAATCTCATCACTGAGCTCTCAAAGAATTCTTTCTGTTTAAGAGTTATATTTTACTTAAAGTGAAGCTCAGTTAAGGGAAATGTGTGCTATTTTATTAGAGAACATTGGACTATCTCTGAGAAATCAGCATAAGGACCAGGTTTTGTTCTTTTTTAAAAAAAATTCATGTTTTAAAAATATATGTTAATCTTTTTAGAATATTCATCTTGAATATGCAGAGTTGGTATTTGTTTACTTTAGCAAGAGACTCTAATTCACCCTTTTGTTGTTCTTTAGGAAAGGCTGGTTTTCATTTGGCCAGTTTATAACTGTTTTTAAACTCAAGGAATATATGTGAAAGTCACAGTGTTCCTACATTTTCAAAAGCTTATATTCTGAAGTTTAGTGAAGCTGTTTGTTTTTAATAATGACCTTACATGGTAATTAGTCTAATTCATGTAAATAATTGCTGCACTTACCTTTGCCTCTGATGCTCTTAGTGATACTCTAATTGTTGCTATTTTTTACTAGTATGAAGATTTCTTAGATGCTCGATTTAAAACCATGAAGAAAGATTCCTTGAATTCTTCTCATCCAATATCATCATCTGTTCAATCTTCAGAACAAATTGAAGAAATGTTTGATTCTCTTTCCTATTTTAAGGTATTACTACACACAGAAGAATCTCTTTTGTGTGAGTGAGCTGCATGATTTAGATAAATATTAGTTTCAGGTATCATGTTAAACTTTAAATATTTATTTTCTATTTAAATCTTGGTCTTAGCTTTTGTGGTGAGGTTTTTTTTCCTTTCTCTTTCTGTCCTTTTAAATGTTATGATCAGTGTTCCAGGCAGTTAACCAGATCTTATAGCAGCACATCTGTTAGAGTTGTTTACTCTCCAGATCTGCAGAGAGGACAGGTTCAGGGAAGGCCCCAGGAAGCCTGAGCTGTGTGGCTCGGAGGAGAGATGAGTTCTAAAGTCAGGGTTGCCAAAACCTGTAAGTGGCCAAAACAAGTAAGCAGAAAGATTGTAAGAATTGCAAACTTAATTCCAGAATCATAACATAGACTCTGGCTTTGGGGATGAAGAATAAGCAGAAAATTAGAAACCCTGGTGGGGTCACCATGGGTCAGAGAACAGAAAACTAGGAGGGGTGAATATATCCCTTGCCTCCGTCTTCTGGTTATCAGATTTATAAATCAATAAATTGGATTCCTGACCTATAGAAAGAAGAAAATATATAAAATGTATGAGATACAATCTGTGTTATCAGGAAGCTCAAAGTGTAAGTGACAGGTACTTAAGAAGCAATCAATACACAAACATGCTGAGTAAGTGCTACAGAGAATTTTTGCCTGGGGTGTTGAAGAGAAATGTTTTGGAGAAAAAAGGGAATAGAAGTGAATTATGTAATAAAAATATAGATGAAGAAGAATGGGAAAAGGAGGGTAGGCAGGAACAGAACAATGAGGTCTGCAAAGAACAAGTTAGGCACACTAAAGAATAAGGAGTGTTTGTGTGGAAAGTACAAATTTGACTGAGTGAAGCCTCACATGTGTGGCCCGGGCACAGAAGGCCCTGCGTGCCATATGGAGTCTGTTTTCTCCTGTAAGCAGTGAAAGCTTTAGAAGACTCTTGAACAGAGGAATGACTTGATTAAAGTTGCTACATAGGCTTAGGGGGAGGAGCAAGATGGAGGCTGAGTAACAGCTTACTTGCAACTGGGCACAGTGAGACTGGAGAGAGAAGACTCCAGGCATCTCTGGCTGGTGGAATCTGCCCAGAAACATCCCTTTGGGGACACAGAGAGTCAGTGAGAGAATTCTGGATCCCATGAGGAGGACAAAAGCAATGGAGACCTGGCAAGTGGTTGCATGTGTTTGTTCAGTCTAATCCCACCGGTAGCTGTAAGTACAGCAGCAGTGAGATTGCAAACTGGACAGATCTTACCTATGAGCTGTTTTGGTTTTTTTGGACTTGGCACTTCAGTTGAGCTACCTTGGGAGAAATTGGGCAAGAGTGTGGAGGGCTTTAAGAGTTGTCTACAGCCCCAGACTGAGCTGCTGAGCCTGATGGAGCTAATAGTGTTTGGCTGTGGGCCATGCAGAGCCATTGTGAGAGAACTGCCCTGGCAATCTCTGTCCTCAGAGTCGCAGAGCAAGGATCAGGCAGGAGACCTTGGGCAAGTAATCTAGTGACTGAGCAGCCTAAAGGCAGAGACTGAGACTGAGACTGAGATACCTTATATATAGGGGCATAGAGTGAGACCAGTTTTGTCACACTGGGTAAGTGGACAGCCACTTCAGGAGTGATTCCAGTGACAAGTGCTTTCCTGGAAAGCTTCTGCTTAGCCAAGGTTAGCAGTTTAAAGTGCCCTTTAAGCAGGCTGAGGAGAGATTTAGGCTCTCCACCTTGCGGAGTTTGAGAAATCAGCAGAGGCCTCTAGTCTCCATCACATATAGCTTTATCAGCATTGTAATTAACATCTCACACCCAGAAGATCACCTGTTGCCCAAACAATATTCAGCAAGATATATATACTCTTTGTTTTTGGTTTTGGTTTTTTTTTTTTTAATTTCAACATTTTTCCTCTAGATTTTTCTTTTTTGTTGTTGTTTTTTCTTCATTTTTCTAGTATAAATATAATTTTACATTGTTGCCTTCTTCAACAATTAGAGCTTCATTTTGGCTAGTGTTTCTATCCCTGTGATTCAGTTTTTCTCCCAGTTTTATCCCATAAAGTTTTCTGTTTGCTTGTTTTGGTTTGATTTATAGCATTTTTGTCTTTCCTCTCTTCTCGGTGGAGGTGGGGTACCATGTCTGAACAGGCTAGCAAAGAGCTGCTGACCTCAAGGGAACTACCCAACCTGTAACCCCCAGAGGTTGGGGGTTTTGGGGTCCAAGTACCTGGACAGGAAATTGCTCTTGTCTCCCTCTTTCTGTGCCTCTCTTCTTTTTGTCAGTATTCCCTTTTACTGACACTCTATCCTCTCCCTTTTTTCCCTTCTTTTTCTTCAGTCTTCTCATCCTTCTGGTCCTATACCAAAAGGACTCATCAAAACCCTAGTCCAGAGGCACACTAACTTAAAGAGTAAGAGGAAGTAAAAGGAAAATTAGGGCAAGGAAACAGATAAAAGAAAACACTCATGAGGAAGAATCAGCAGAAAAATCCTAGCAACATGAAAAACTAGTTCAGAGCAACATCTGCAAGGGACCGAGAGGTAGCTACTGCAGAGAATTCTACCTATAAAGAAATGTTAGAAATGACAGAAGGGAATTTAGAATACAGATGATGAAAACAATGAAACAATCGACAAACAATGACAGAAGGGAAGTTAGAATACAGATGATGAAACAGTGAAACAATTATCTGTATTCTAAATTCCCTTCTGTCATTTCTAACATTTCATAAAGACATTTTCATAGAGAAATGTTAGAAATGACGGAAGGGAATTTAGAATACAGATGATGAAAACAATGAAGGAAATGATGGAAATGATGAAAACAATGAATGAAACTGCTGGTAAAGTGGAAAATAACCAAAAGGAAATCCAAAAACAGAATTCAATCAGAGATGAATGATATGAAGAATATAGAAAGGATATAGCAGAGCTGAAGGAACTGAAGCAGTCAATTAGGGAACTTAAAGATGCAATATAAAGTATCAACAACAGATTAGACCATGCAGAAAAAAGAATCTCAGAGGTAGAGGACAAAGCTCTTGAGATAACTCAGATAATTAGAGGCAGAAAAGAAGAGAGAGAAAGCAGATCATTCACTGACAGAATTATGAGACTTTCTGAAGCGTTCAAACATACGAGTTATAGGTATCCCTGAAGGGGAAGAAGAACACCCCGGGGGAATGGAAGCCATACTAGAGAATATTATAAATGAAGATTTCCCAAATATCACCAAAGATTCTGACACACTCCTTTCAAAGGGATATCAGACCCTAGGTCACCTCAACTCTAACCAGGCTTCTCCAAGACATTGTGATGAACCTGTCCAAAGTCAAGACAAAAGAAAAGATTAAAGCTGCCAGGAGTAAGCGCCAGTTGACCTATAGGGGCAAATCCATCAGGGTGACTGCAGACTTCTTTAATGAAACTTTTCTAGCAAGAAGACAATGGTCATCTACCTTTAAACTACTTAAACAGAACAATTTCCAGCCCAGAATTCTATATCCTGCTAAGCTAAACTTTAAAGTTGACGGAGAAATCAAATCATTTACTGATTTACAAACATTGAGGAAATTTGCCACAACAAGACCAGCTCTACAGGAAAAACTTCAGCCTGTTCTACACACTGACCATCACAATGGATCAACAGCAAAGTAAGAACTCAGAAATTAAAGGACAAAACCTAACTTCCCCACTGATGCAGAAGATAAAACTAAGCAATGGACTCTCACAAAATGAGATGAATAGAACACTACCACACTTATCAATTATCTCAGTAAATGTTAATGGCTTGGATTCCCCACTGAAGAGGCATAGATTGGCTGGCTGGATTAAAAAACACAATCCATCCATTTGCTATCTGCAGGAAACACACCTAGTTTCAAAAGACAAAACTCCAAGTTAAGGGTTGGAAGACAATTTTTCAGGCAAATGGAATTCAGAAGAAAAGAAGAGTTGCAATCTTATTTTCAGATACGTGTGGATTTAAAGCAACTAAAGTCAAGAAAGACAAAGACGGTTACTTTATATTGGTCAAGGGAAAAATACAACAAGAAGATGTTTCAATTCTAAATATTTATGCACCCAAGTTAAATGCTCCCAGATTCTTGAAACAGACCTTACAATCTGAGCAATATGATATCCTATAATACCATAATTACAGGGGACTTTAACACTCCTTTTACAGATCTGGACATATCTTCTAAACAGAAATTAAACAAAGATATAAAGGCCTTAAATGAGACCCTAGAACAACTATGCTTGATAGATGCATATAGAACATTCCATCCCAAAGGTAAAGAATACACATTCTTCTCATCACCCCATAGAACATTCTCCAAAATTGGTCATATCCTAGGACACAAAGCAAACCTCAACAGAATCAAAAGAATTAAAATTTTACCTTGTATTTTCTCAGACCACAAGGCACTAGAGGTGGAACTCAACTCCAACAAAAATGTTCAACCCCCCACAAAGGCATGGAAACTAAACAACCTTCTTTTGAATGACAGTTGAGTGCAGGAAGAAATAAAAGAGGAAATCATTAACTTCCTTGAGCATAACAACAATGAAGACACAAGCTACCAAAACCTGTGGGATACTGCAAAAGCAGTTCTGAGAGGAAAATTTATTGCTTTAGATGCCTGCATTCGAAAAACAGAAAGAGAGTGCATCAACAAACACACAAGCCATCTTATGGAATTAGAAAAAGAAGAACAACCTAAGCCTAAACCCAGCAGAAGAAAAGAAAAATAGCCAAAATTAAATCAGAGAGCAATGAAATTGAAAACAAAGAGTCATTCAGGAAATTAATGACACAAAGAGTTGATTTTTTAAAAAAATAAAATACATAGACTTTTGGCCAAACTAACTAGAAATAGAAAAATAAAATCTCTAGTAACTTCAATCAGAAATGATAAAGGGGGAATAAAAACTGATGCCACAGAGGTACGAGAGATCATCTCTGAATATTACTAGAAACTCTATACCCAGAAATTTGACAATATGAAGGTACTGGGTCAATATTTGGAATTAGACCCACTCCCTAGACTTAGCCAGGAATAGAGCTGCTGAACACACAGATTTCAAGCACTGAGATAAAAGAAACAATAAAAAATCTTCCAACAAAAAGATGCCCTGATCCAGATGGCTTAACACCAGAATTCTGTCAAACCTTCAAGGAAGAGCTTATTCCCATACTGCAGAAATTATTCCAAAAAATTGAGGAGGAAGGAATCTTCCCCAACACATTGTACAAAGCACACCATGATACCAAAACTAGGAAAAGACCCAACTAAAAAGGAGAATTTCAGACCAATTTTACCAATGAATATAGAAGCAAAAATTCTCAACAAAATCCTAGCTAATAGATTACAGCTTATCATCAAAAAAGTCATACATCGTGATCAAGTAAGTTTTGTCCTGGGGATGCAAGGTTTAAAATACGCAAGTGGCAATTGCAACAACAACAAAAATAAACAAATGGGGCTTAATTAAACTGAAAAGCTTATGTACAGCTAAGGAGACGACAGCCAAAGCAAATAGACAACCTACACAATGGGAAAGGATATTTGCATATTTTTGAATCAGACAAAAGCTTGGTAACTAGGATCTATAGAGAACGCAAATTAATCCATGTGAAAAAAGCCAACAATCCCATATATCAATGGGCAAGAGACATGAATAGAAACTACTGTCCTTTGAAAGCCCTGCTTGCAAGGTTGGTCTTAGGCTGGCATCTGGGAACTTGGATTTTGGGAAAGCTTCTACCATACCACAATAAGAGTGGCTTACTGTGCCTAAATTGTACCAACAATTTTGTTTGTGCTGGACAACTCCTTTCCTTCAGCAAGTCTAGAATTTTGGTGTGTTTTGGGCAGAAGGTACTTCTATCACTGGCCACCACTAAAACCCTGGAACTGTTAAAAGGTTGTACCTGGTTTCCTCTGGACCTTGCTCTGTGTACTTTTTTACTGGTATTTTTTCCCCTTAACAAACCATGGTGGAGCCTCTGACTGATGCTGAGCCTTTGAGTCCTTGCACAGCCTCATACTGGGGCCATTCGTGGGGACCCCACACAGCTTGAGATATGAGATTGCTTTGTGTGTTCAAGCACCAGCCCCAGTGTGTCTGTAGTGAGCCATGCAGAGGGTTAAGGAGTTGCTGATGTCAGAGGGATTCTAAGGGGTCAGATCATTGTAGGCTTAAGTGGTAAGGAGCTTGATTTTACTCTAAGTGAAATCAAAAGCTTTTTGATCAAGGAAATACCATGGTGTGGCTTACTTTGTAAGCAATCACTCTCATCTTCAATAGTACATAAAGTCAGGCTAAGAAGAAAAAAATTCCATTTCCTATTGAGTGTGAGGTACACATCAGACATCCAGATGATGTCCCAAGCAAGCAGTTGGATATGAGTCTAGAATTTGGAAGCAAAGTCTGGTGAGATAAACTCAGGACTCCGGTAAAAGAAACCTGGGAGTTGAGGAGATCAGCTAGGAAGTAAGTTAGATAGAACAACACGTGTCCAAAGATCAGGTGCCAGGGCACACTTCCCTCAATGGAAGGATGAGAAGGCTCGGAGGAGGCTAGGAGGCCTGGCCAGTGAACAGGGCTTAGGAGCGTCTGGGTTCCAGTGCAGGAAGACCTGTGAGGAGGGATCAGCCAATCTCAGCAAGCACCTCTGTGTGTTGATGAGGGAGTGAGCCCCAGAGTTTGCTTGGATCAGTGGGGAAGTTCAGTAGGGACCTTCCCAGGAACACTTCCAGGGAAGTATGATGGTCAGAAGATGGCTTAAGAAAAAATGGAAAGAAGAAGTGGGGATGGCAGATGCAGACAGCTCTTTTGAGGGGTCTTCCTGCAAAGGAGGAGCAAAAAATAACTTGATGACTGGAGGTTAGTGTGGAGTGAAGGAGGCAGGGAGTCTTTAGTCCTTTAAAATGAGGAATGTTACAGTTTTTGTTTTGTTGATGGCAGTAGCACAGTACAGAGGGAAAGTTGGGAGACAGGCTGGGAGGCAACTGTCAGGAACAAGAGTGAGACTGACTTGTCAGAATGAGTAGTAGCTGGAGTGTGGTATGAAGTACAAGAGCAGTAGACAATTAGTCACCGCACTGGTAATCTTGATGCCTTCACATTGCTGCATTTTTATCAGAAGTGAAATTCTTTAGAAACTACTCAAGGGCCACTGTGCAATAGGCCTTCGAGTTGAGCTTTTCCTTTTTTTCTCAACTAGCATACAGCATGGAAGAGCAAATAAATATGTAACAGTTACAGGAAGAAATATAACTTGCCATTGAAAATAAAGAAATAGGAATTCTATTTTGAGTTAGGAAAGGCTTCTCTGGAAAGGTGGTGGCTATTTTTAGACTGAGGATAATGACGTGCTTGGTGGATGTGGTGTGACCTTCATGGTGGTGGCAGAGTGTGAGTTGTTGGTTGGTATGTGTTTGCTACCCTGTGCCTTTGTTAATTACAAACATTTTGAAGTGACTCTGCAGAAAGAGAGGTCTTGGTTACTTTACAACATAATATGCTAAAATTAGAAGTTAACATACAACCCAGCAAAGAGGCCTTGAAGAGCTCTGCCAGTTGTCTGTCTCCCAGCAGCATGTGCCTATGAACTCACCTGACACTTTAAGCCCTGGGGGTGGAGCTGGGAATGGTGGAGCTAAACAGAAAATTTAGCAGGTTTTCCTATTAAAAATACATTTATAAATACTTACCTTTTTAGCACCAACACTGAAACATTGGGTATACTGGTAGGTCACACAGAATGGCTTACAGTGGAATTAGCATATATTGGAATTACTCCGTTATTTTTCAAATACTTCAAATTGATTTCAGGACAATTTGAACATAGTCCATATCTAGTTATTTGGGACTAAATAGCAAACAGTGTATCATAACTAAGTTCTATATATGAAAGTATGTGTTTAGAATGATATTTTGAATTTTTTTTAATTTTATTTTAAGTCAAATACACATAGATCACGAATACATTCATGCACATATGGGGTACAATGTGCTGATTTTTTTTATACAGTCTAACGTAGTTACATTAAACCAATCAACCTAGCTTTCACCTCATTTACTTTATTATGCCAAAACATCTATGTTCTACGTTTGACAATTTGACTTGTACCCTTGTCATATGTTCCATAGGTGTGATCCTGCCTTTTACCCTCCCTCTGTCAAACCTCGCCCCTCCCCTCCCTTCCCTCTCCACTTCTCTCCATCCTGGGCTATAGTTGTGTTCTATCTTTTATAAGAAAGTGTGAGTAAATATAAGATAGTTTCATAGAAGTACTGAGTACATTGGATACTTTTTCCTCCATTCTTGAGACATTTTACTCAGGAGAATATGTTCCAGATCCCTCCATGTAAACATGAAAGAGATAAAGGCTTCATCTTTTTTAAGGCTGCATGGTATTCCATGTTATACATATACCACAATTTATTAATCTATTCATGGGTCGAGGGGCACTTGGGTTTCTTCCATGACTTGGCTATTACAAATTGAGCTGCAATAAATAATCTGGTGTAAATATCTTTTTTGCTAAGTGATTCTTGGTCTTTTGGATATACTCCAAGTAGAGGAATTGCAGGATCCAACAGCAGGTCAATTTTTAGTTCCCTGAGTGTTCTCATGGTGGATGGGATGGATATTTTGAATACTCAGTTCTGTGCCCCACAGCAGTATTCTGTTATTTTATTCCTTTTTTCTCACTTGTTTTGAATAGGGAGCTTCTCTGTTGTTGATGCTGAAAAGTTACCTTAGTGAAGATGTTTTTCAACATGCCATTGTCCTTTACCTGCATAACCACAGCTATGGGTCTATTGAGAGTGATGACCTGTGGGATAGCTTCAATGAGGTGAGTGACCAGGGAGACTTACTCAGTTCCTACAGAAAGAAGAGAGCAGTGCTTCTGTTTATGTTTTTATCATCTGTGTAAATAAGTTTATGGTACGTTGGAACTTAATATATAAATATTTCTGATGGAACACTGACTTTCATGTTAAGAAATGGGAGTACTGTTCTTTTTTGTTCAAAAACATGTGTGGCCTTGGGTGGCCATCTTTATTCTGTACCTTAATCTTCATTCTTGCTTTGTAGGAAAGTTTCCTTCTCTGTACTGATAAATATCACTGTATTTTCATTATTTGATTTTTTTTTAAAAAACTTCCTATTTCTATCTTTGTCCAGTGTTTTTCCTCCCATTGATGATTCTGCCCTCTGCTTTGTGAATCTCTTGTGCACTGTGGCTGTCTCCTCTAGACTAAGTGGCATCTCACAGGCCAACTCTGGGAGCTGCGTATGGCCCTTGGGTCATCCTGCTATCAGGGTTTTGTCGTACCTGCAGAGGTCCTGACGAGCATCGCGGTTAGTTAGAAGTCACTGTTGACAGCAGTACACTAACCCAGACAGCCTCACACGTATATGCTGACTGCTTGACCCTTACTGAGCATCTGTGTTTGATACCCTGACCTAGATGGATAGTTCTGCATTGATTTGGAAAATCGGTGGAAGTTCTGGCCATCTTCCCCAGAAAAACCACACGTGTGTGAAATGTCACATGCAGTTTCAAAGTCCTACTCACATAGGGTTAAGAAGCCCTGCTCTGGGTCTGGGTGATCTGATCTTCTTGCTTCCCAACTTGACTGAGTCCTGGTGTTTTCTGGCTGTTAACCATTTGCTCAGAAGATACACTTTCCCTGCTCTTTGAGTTCTCCATGAGAGAAGGGGTTAGTCCTTATTATTCAACATTTGCTTCTAGGCCACTGTGTTTTCTCTGATCATGTAGCATCATTTCATTTGGAGGCTGTTATTTACTTAGTCCTCATTCTCTTACCTCTTGACATTTAGCACACATTTCTGCATTCCTCACTGCACTTTGTACCACAGTGTTTTCCTGTCCCACCCTGGTCCCGCATGTCACCCTCAGGTCTCCCAGCATCCACATCAAGTTGTGCACCTGCTCCTGTGAGCACCTTCTGTAGGCCCAGATGTACTCTGCTTCGGGCAAGCCTATTTTCTTTCCAGCCTCTGGTTCAGAAATAAGTAGGTCAGAGTCATGAGCAGTATACAATGAACATCACAGTTAATTTGGTTAGATTTTGTCCATTCTTTTAAATAAACAGGCATCTGGTGACTGAAGTGAGGCTGCCATAGTGGAGCGATATTATCAGTTTAGGTACATGGTGACCTAGTTACTTGCAATTCAAATCCATATGTAATCTAGAAAAATAATTTGGATCATAAGTTCAACCTACATGCTTTAAAGAAACAGCTGTTCAAAAACTGCTTCTCAATAATTGATCCCAGATGTCTTGGGCTGTTGGCATTGGAGGGTCTGTGCACCTCTGGCATGGATTCCAGATTTTGTAGATAAGTTGACGTATTTTCTGAGAAAGAAGACCTGTGACCATTAAAAAAGTGTAACACTGTTTTCTAGGAATACTTAAGGTCAAGGCAGCTGATCTGCTTACATTTCACTCACTGAGGCTGTTGCCCCCAGGTGTCCCCCCTGGAGTCCCCACTGTGCTGGGCCTTAGAGCCTATTGTTTGTGAGGGTGAAGGCAGGAGAGAGAAAGAGCCGGACACCAGGACTAGCAGGATGGAGTCCCTCACCTTCCGCTTCTAGACCAGACATCATGGTTCACATCTTCTGAGGGTAGTGCAATGAGTCAGAAGAAAGGTTATGCTTTCTCAAATATTTTAATCTGAATGAATTTGGGGACTTTAATCTTAAGGAACTCTGTATGTTAACACTGCTGCTCCCAACATGACACCTTTCTCACTCCCTCATCGGCACTTAATTCCGTCCCAAGTTACTTCCTGTCAGCAGATGCTCATTTACTCATTTGCCTAGATTAGAAGTATAAATTCAAGATTCATGCTTTGTGTGTTTTTGTTTTTCTTGAGACAAGGTCTCACTTTGTTGCCTGGCTGGAAAGCATTGGCATCACAGCTCATGGCAGCCTCCTGTTCCTGGGCTCAGGTGATTTCTCCTCAGTTCCCCCTAGTACAGGGATTGCAGGTGTGAGCCACCACGCTCCATGTTAATATTAAACATGGTTGTCATAGAACAGGCGTCCTCAAACTATGGCCAGCGGGCCACATGAAGCCTGCCTAGGACATTTATCTGGCCCACCAGGTGTTTTTGCCGCCACTGCCTATCCTGCTTAGCAGCCGACTCATCCTGGGGCCCACAGTCCAGCCCTCTAACGGTCTGAGGGACAGTGAACTGGCCCTCTGTTTAAAAAGTTTGAGGACCCCTGTCATAGAATGTGGTAGGGAAAGTAGAAGGGCTACATACAAATTAAACTGTCAAATTTTTGTGACCAAGTTTGTTTCCAAGCAATAATAATTTATTCCTTTTTTGTAGGTCACAAACAAAACCCTAGATGTAAAGAAAATGATGAAAACCTGGACTCTCCAGAAAGGATTTCCTTTAGTAACTGTTCAAAAAAAAGGAAAGGAACTTTTTATACAACAAGAAAGATTTTTTTTAAATATGAAGCCTGAAATTCAGCCTTCAGATGGAAGGTACACACCCTTTCCTCTTATGCTCTTTTACATACTTGTGTTGAAGTATTTTTAAATGTTTTTCAATGATAAATTCTTATGAAAGGTAATAAGATTACCCCTTTTTGAGAATAGCTTGAAAAATTTAACCTTTCTGCCCTCCTTAACCTCTCCCACCAAAGACCCAGAAAATCACATGTAACTATCTGGAATAATGAAAAGATTAGCAATTTTCCGATATTTTCTTTTCACAGCTACCTGTGGCATATTCCACTATCCTATGTTACTGAGGGAAGAAATTATTCAAAACATCGATCGGTATCATTACTGGACAAGAGATCAGGTTTGACTATAATTAACACCTTTCTGATAAGAAATTAGGTAATATTAAAAATCTGACCAAAGAGCAGATAGGAGGTCACAGGATAGTATGTGTCATGAGTCCCACCCCGGATGCAAGTATGGTCCTGCAATTCCACTCATCCTGCACAACATCAGCCTTTATTCACGTAAAATAATGTGCAGGTAGTAGAATAACAAATATCTGTGTTTTTATATTCTAGTTAAGTATTTTATGTGACCAAATGAGAAGTAATAGTGTAGAGCAATTTCTTAAAGTGTCCTCTGCTGTCTGAATGTGATAACAGTCGCCCTTAGTGATGCTCATGCAATAAGAAAGGGTGGTTTGTGACCTAAACTTGGACTGAATAGTCACTGTGGTATGCCCTTCAGACGTAATACGTATTTTTTGGTAATGAGAAAATAGACCAGACACACTCTGACAACAGACAGGAGGGAATGATAAAATGTGAAGGTGGCACGTGCTAACTGCCAGGTGTCTACAAAAAGCTGAAATGTGGTTTCTGACCATATGGTAGATCCCTGTGAAGGCCACAGCACATGTCCTCTGAATGTAAACCCTGAAAAAATAAAAGGCTCTTGGGTTCTGTAGGAACCGTTATTGATGCTTCATTGTAGATCAGTGACAAATGGAAAGTTTCTGTTTGAATCTGGATCTGAATTTAAGCCTATGTTCTTGAGAGGTGAGTATAGTTTAGAGCCAGGAGAACGGATTTTGTAGCCAGATTGTTTAAGTCCTCATCTCTGCCACTGACCACTTGTATGGTTTTAGATGAGTTATGTCATCTCTCCCAGCTTCCTTCCCTCAGCTATAGAGAGGAAAGTGATGATACTTACTCTGTGGGGTTGTGTGAAGTTAATTGGGTTTTTCTATGGCACACCCACAGCAATGTGTTATGTACCAAATAAACATCAACTATCATTGTTAATGTTGTCACTGAAAAAAATCTTTAAACATAATATAACTATTTCATAAAATCTGGAAAGTAGAGAACAGATTTTTGTTACCCTGTCATGATTATTATTTTCTAGTCATTTTTAATAATTTTTTTACTTAGTTGAAATCATTGTATACATGTTTTTTTTGTATCTTGCCTTTTTTCTTTTTGAGAAATTTTTTATTCATTTGTTCATTTATTTATTAATTTTAGAGCTGGGTTCTTACTGTTTGGCTGGCCTCAAACTCCTGAGTAGCTGGGATTACAAGCGTGTACCAGTATGCCCGGCTCTTGCCATATTTTTTTTAAGTTAACATATACAGTAACTTAGTAAGTTCTTAGTAAAGAACTTACTACTACAGTAACTTAGTAAAGAATTACTACAGTAACTTAGTAGTTCTTAGTAAAGAACAAAGTAAAAAATTTACTGTAGTGTACCTGGTTCGGTCGGGAACTGCAGCTGGGCCCCACGTGATGCTGCACCTGCCACTGCCTCTCCACAGTGTAATGCAGCTGTTGGTGTAATTCCTGCAGTTCAGGGTCTGAGAGTCCACACTGGAAACATCCCATCCTTACCAAAAGTGTTTGACCCTGAAGACAGTTGAGTCTTCTTGGCTTCTAATGCTCCCAGTGAGAAGAACTATTATTTTGATAGCATTTTCAATTTTTCTACCCTGAAAAGAAATGTGGCCAAGAGGGTGACTTCAGGCCTATTTTATGCCGTGTGACTTAGTGCAGTGTTATCCTGATGCTATCTGTTTTGTTATGTCTACAGTGTACTTTCATGTGTCATCAGGATTTAGTCCCTTAGTTCAGTCCTATGTGGGATTTATATTTAGTCAATATCATTGTTACTTTTCCCCTGTACATGGACAAGAGTTTTGAACAATTAATATTTGTTGTGCGTAGGAAAAGCTGGAGGGGGCCATTTTCCTGGGCAATTATTGAGGAAACTATACTAAAAAAATTTCCCTCTTTCTACCCCCACAATCCTCATCTTAATTTAAACCTAATATCTTTAACTATAGGAGGGTTTTGTATTAAATCTAACTTGAAACGTTTGTTTCTGAAAGGATATCACTGTACCAGAAAGTGGGGAGGAAGGCAGGTGGGAAGAAAGGAGGAGGAAGGGAATATAGTAATTAAAATATTTACCATGTGCCATTCTCTGCCCTTGCCTTTTCTCCCCAATCAAATAAAGGAGGAAGAAAGGGGGTCCTGGAGAGGGGATCTTGTGAATGGGGTATGAGGTTCACCTGCCTGTACCCTGTACTCTGTTTCAATACTTTAAAGCTTTTTTGTAAAATAGTAGTTTGTTATTATTGCTAATTGACAAATGTTTTTAAAAATTCACTATCAGATCACTTCATCTGGGCTTTTGGTACTTTAGATTGGAGTTGCTCATTCTTTTTCACTGTACAATGGGCTGTGAAAATTGAACCATTAATCTGTTAATGATTATAATAAATTAAGAACATGTGCAGATAGCCTCATCCACATTTGAACTTCAGGATGTAGTTGTTTCCCTTGTGTGTAAAGCTATCATTTTTTGATACCTGTGGTTTTAAAGTCCTTTGATGTTCAAGAGAACTGACAGGGACTACCATGAGTCTTCTGTGCAGATGGCTGCCCTGCTTCAGTCCTATCATCCTGATGACAGTGAGGATTTCATGTGGGCTCCCAGCTGCATCCCCCCTCTCTACCACCCAGACCTGGCTGGCTTCTCAACTTGGCGACTTGCTCATCCGCCTGGACACCATGTGTCTGTGTCCCCACAGCCACCCATCCAGCAGTTGCCACACTGGTTGTCCTTGGCTCCTCTGGGGCTGAGGGGGGCATGGGGCCTGCAGTCCTCCTTCACAAGGTTCTTTCTTGGTGAAACCTCTGTAGGAGGTTACATTTGGTGACCTGAAGAGTGACAAAGCAGATTTTATTAGTCACAGACTTGTTAAAGTGGCTCCCACTCGGAGCAGCTGCTATTGCTTTTGAGAGTGTCCCTGATGCCGCTCACTAGCCTGGAGGGGGGACACGCCCTATGCAGTTAGTCTTCCCCAAAGAACAGAAATAAGCATGTAATTTTTAATGGAAAAGAATTATTAGCTTATATGTCCTACTTAGACATGAGCAGAATGTCATTTTATTTTATTTTGTCATATACAGTATCCGTAGAATTGGAGTAACAAAGATATTAAGAGAATTTGATGAATTTAAATAATCCATGCTTTTGAGATTGACAAAATTGTAAGGCTTCAGGTACTAACATATAACCCTTAGGTTTAAAACATTTTTATAAAGCATTTTATATATAAAAACTTTACTACATAATTATTATGATAGTGAACATTTTAAAACAACTCAAATATTTCAGAATAGGAGATTGGGATCTGATAGGTGAAAATGATAAAACAAACTATATATATATCTGCTATATAAAATATTTAATCAACTAAAACATGTTTAAGAAAAGCTTGCAGGAATCATATTATAAAATGCTGGCATTGTCTAAGTTTAGATTATTTTCTTTGCTCTTTTTGTTATAATTTTAGAAATTTAAAAAACATTCATTACTTTAAATGGAGGGAAAAACAAATATTTACAAATTTTATTGGATGTGATTTTAAACTTTTTTATGATACAGTGATTGCTCATTCACTGGTTCAATAAGTATTTTTTGAGCACCTGCTAGGGGCATTGTTCTAGGGGCAATAAACAAACAGTATTCATGGCAGTAAGCAAAAATTCATAGAGCTTATGTTCTAATAAATAGTAAGCCTCAGACACTTAGAAGCATGGCCCTGTTACATTAAATCTACATCCTTGTCATCAACTTTATCAAAGTACATTTCTTGATTAGTAATTTGAGAATTTCGAAAATTTATATATATGTTTTATAGTCAGATAGCTCTTCATTATTCATACATTAGTTTAAATAATTCCACAGCCATTTCTAACAGTGCCCTCATCATTTATATGTGTAATAACAGGGACCTGAAAAGTGCTTATCACTTTTCTGTTATTTTAGTTCACTTGCTTCTTATTTGTTCCTAATGAAACTGTAAGCCTTCCCTGATGTTTATTTTGCTGACTTTGAATTGTGTGACTTTTCCAAATGACTTTGTTTGTTGTTCATTCACTAACATTACAGTGAAGCTGACTGAGCTGGCACATGCTGTCCGTGGTCCTGCTGCCATGTTCCCAATGCCCTGCCCTGCATGCTGTCTCCCTATCTCCCTCTCTCCTGCCCTCTCCAGCCATGATGAGCTTGGGGTGGGCAGTCAGTCCAGTGTGTGGGTGCCATGCACACTCTCTCTGGGCCTTGAGCACTTGGTCTTGGCTCTATATTCCTCACTTGGCTAACACCTGTATATTCTGAGGTCTCTTAGAAGAAAGACAACTTAGTGGTTCCAGTGACTCTTGAGGCTGAGGCAGTAAGATGACTTGAACCCAGGAGTTAGAGTCAGCCTAGGAAATATACCAAGACCTCCATCTCTTCTAAAAACAGCAATGAAAATAAAAAGAGAAAGAAATGACAACTTGGATGTCATTTCTGTTTTTTTTACAGAGTCTCACTCTGTCACCCTGGGTAGAGTGCAGTGACATCCTTGTAGCTCACTGCAACCTCAAATTCCTGGGTTCAAGTGATCCTCCTGCCAGCCTCCAGAGTGCTAGGATTACAGGTGGGAACCACCATGCCTAAATGTCATATTTTTCAGGAAGCCTCTCCTGATCTTCCCTTGGGAAATGAAGCATTTCTTCTGTGTGTTTCTGTTGAATGCTGTATTTTCTTTTCTGTCATTAGCTCTTAATGATACATATTTTCTGCTTTGTTCATGGTTCAGTTTCCAGCATCAAGCCTAGAGCCAACCATGCACAGTAAATAAATAATTATTAAGTGACCGTGGTGACACTAGCACAATAACTGCACTGGGAGGCAAATAACCCATCTTAACTTTGAATCAAACCACTCATCTCATTTTTTTGCTTACTGTCTTCTTTCTTATCTGTCCTGTTTTGGTCTCTGTCAGGCATCATCAACCTTACAGAGGACGTGCAGTGGGTCAAAGTCAATGCAGACATGAATGGCTACTACCTTGTGCATTATGCCAGTGATGACTGGGAGTCACTAATTACACAGCTGAGAGTGAACCCTTATGTTCTGAGTGACAAGGACCGAGCCAACCTCATCAACAACATCTTTGAACTTGCAGGGTAGGGTATACTTGGCTCAGCTTTGTTTTGTTTTGCTTTTAAAAGTCTGTTGAGGTGAAGAACATTTATGAAAAACAGTTTGAAAGACATGTTGGTGCCATTCATTTTGGAGGATCAGGAAAATATAAGACATGCTCTTTGCCTCCAGGGACTTCATAACCTATGCAGAAACATTAGTTACAAATATACTGAACAATTAAGCAACGTAAGACAAGATATTTAATAATAATTTGGGACTAGATACCAAAAAAACAGGATACATATTTTCCTGAATAAATTGATAAAGGAGTTTTTATAAAGGGTTTGCTCTTATTTCACAAGAGAATTCTTTACAAGCGGCACCTGGTGTCAGCATGAGGTTTTTATGTTGACCTGTTGGTTGTGAGGTCATGTCACTGGCTGGAGCTTCCTTGTCAGTGTGCCACTTGGCATTTAACCACCTCACTCACATCTTCTGCAATGCCAAAGTCGAGAATAACGGGGACCTCATGTAAAGATAGAATATTACCAATTTGGATCAATAGTGAACTTAGAAATGCAAGGAAGACTCAAGCATATTCTGTCTGACTTTGTTGAATCCATTTGGTTAATTTTTTATGACCTTCTTATATCATCTCAGCCATCACTGCTATTATTTTTATAAATGATTAATTTAAATATACTCTATATAAATTCTCTTTGCCTTAACAAGTTTGACAAATTCTCATACAACCAACAATTTTTTTTTCTGATCCAGATATCTCTATGCTATACCCTTCCCCCAGTAAATATGAGTAATTAACAAATAAATAAAATTAGTATTTTTACCTTTTCTCACCCAAGACACTGTAATACTTTAGCTAAGTCAGTGGCAATTTAGAGAAAAACATAAGGCATAAAAATGAGCTTTGTTGAGGTTTAGCTTTGTCTTGAAATTCATCTTTAACCTTGGGCCACATATACTTAATCAAATACAAGATTTAGTCTAACTTTACAGAATGCTACTCTAAGCTTAAATTTTTGGTCTTCCAGAGTTACCATCCAGCTGTAAAATCTCACTCTGGGCACTTCTCTGCATATTCACCCTTCCATTCTTTTATCCATTAGCCTAGGCAGAGTGTCTCTCCAGAGGGCTTTTGATTTGATCGATTATCTTCAAAGTGAAAATGATACTGCACCCATCACTGAAGCCCTCTTCCAGACAGGCCTCATCTTTGACCTCCTTGAAAAGCTGGGCCGCATGGATCTGGCCTCAAGGCTGGTGGTAAGGCTGCTGTGCTGCTAGCCCTGCACGTTGCTGCCCGTGGCACCCCGCCCCGTGTGTGGGCTTCCCACAGCAGGTGATATAGTGGGTAATATCTGTGCTCCCCCTTTTTTCTTCATTGAAAAAATTTTGGGGAAAAGAGATCTAACTGTCCTAATTTTTTTGATTGCCCTATTATTACTAATCTATTATAATCCATTTTGTTTCTCTAGATGAGAGTATTTAAATTGCTTCAAAACCAAATCCAACAACAGACATGGACTGACGAGGGTCCCCCCTCTGTGCGGGAGCTGCGGTCAGCTTTGCTGGAATTCGCCTGTGCCCACAGCCTGGCAGGCTGTTGCACCACTGCCACGCAGCTGTTTGATGCCTGGGTGGCCTCCAATGGCACTCAGAGGTGAGCTACCCTCCTCCTCCTCACCTATCACCTGTACCAAATCCAGGGCCTGCTACTCCTTGGCCACCTATGTTACAAGGCTGAATGTGAATGTGGATGGACTCTGGGTGTCTGTTCTTACACAGAATTGTGGTAAAATATAGATAACATAAAATTCACCACCTTAAACCTTCTTTAGTGTACAGTTCAGTAGTGTTAAGTACATTCACACTGTTGTGCATGAACAGTCTCAAGAACCTTTTCATCGGCTTGGCGCCTGTGGCTCAAGCGGCTAAGGTGCCAGCCACATACACCTAAGGTGGCGGGTTCGAATCCCCAGCCCGGGCCCGCCAAACAACAATGATGGCTGCAACCAAAAAATGGCCAGGTGTTGTGGCAGGTACCTGTAGTCCCAGCTACTTGGGAGGCTGAGGCAGGAGACTCGCTTCAGCCCAGGAGTTGGAGGTTGCTGTGAGCGTGATGCCATGGCACTCTACCCAGGGGGACAGCTTGAGGCTCCATCTCAAAAAAAAAAAAAAAAAAAGAACCTTTTCATCTAGCAAAATTGAAACTCTGTACCCGTTAAACAACCTCCCATCTCCTCTTTCCTCCAATCCCTAGCAGCCACTATTACTATTTTCTGTTTTTTTGTATTTAACTAACCAGATACCTTATGTAAGTGAAATTATATATTTGTCTCTTTGTGACTGTTTTATTTCACTTAGCATAATATCTTCAGAGTTCATCCATACAGTGGCATGTGTCAGAATGTCCTTCCTTTTGAAGGCTGAATAATATTCCGTGGTTTGTATGTACTACATTTTATTTACTTATTTATTCATGGGAAGGCCTTTGAGTTGCTTCCACCTTTTGGCTATTGTAAATGATGCTCCCGTGAATGTGGGTGTGCAGGCATCTCTCAGGGACCCTGCTTTCTTTTGTATATATACCTAGAAGTGGTATTGCTAGATCACATGGCAATTTTATTTTTAATTTTTTGAGGAACGCCCTTATTATTTTCCATAATGTCTATACCATTTTACATTCCCACCAACAGTGCACAAACACTCCACTATCTCCACATCCTTGCCAACACTGTTTATTTTCTGGTTTTTGATAGCAGTCATCCTACTGGGTGTAAGGTGACAAAGACATCTCTTATAACTTAGAAATAAGAGAGAGCAGGCAAGTTGGTAGTCAGTGGAAACACTTTGGCAGTGGTCGTGCCAGGCTCCTTACTGGGCCCAATGGAGAGCAGGTTTGAGTGTGAAAGGCAGAGCTGGGGTGAGGATGGCCTTGTGAGCCTGCTCTGGGATCTTAGTTAGCAAGAGCAGTGATTCATCTCTCCCTATCTCTTACACATCTACACTGACTGCTGCATTTCTACCATGGCACTTCCAGGCTGGGCTGTCATGCCTGTGTGCTGCTCTGTGCTGCAGTAGCCTTCAGGCGCCTCTGAGGCAGAGACTGTGCCCTGTTCCTCTTTCCTCCCCAGCATCCAGCCAGTTGCTTCCCTGGCTCTTTTGTTCTTCGTGCCTGTACTACTAGGCTAGCAGCACTCACTGAATCAGCCTTGTTCTTAACTCCAAATCGTATAGTTAAGACTTTTGCAGTTATTACAAAGCTGATCCCAGAAGCCCTACCATGGATCAACTCTTCACCTTCCCCTGAGGTCTTTCCTCACCATTCTTATGTCTTACTACCTGTCTTACAGCTTGCCCACTGATGTCATGGCGACTGTGTTCAAAGTGGGAGCCAGGACTGAGAATGGCTGGTTGTTCCTTCTGAGCAAGTACACATCTCTTGGCTCTGAAGCAGAGAAGAACAAAATACTTGAAGCTCTTGCCAGCTCAGAAGATGTACGGAAACTTTACTGGTAGGAAACCACAGCAAGAATATGGTGTACAAAGACCAAAAGCATAAAAATTCTGTTCGAGGGTAGGACTCACTCTTGTTTGAGATTCCCTTTTCCATTCTTCTGTCATAGGCCATGACTGAGCTAGCCCATGGTGAGAGGCTCAGTCGCTGGTCACCACCTCATAGAACCAATTTGGGGGTGGGATGCTCTTTGCCCAACAGAAACTAGGTATATGGGAGTTACGACCTTTCCTCCCTGCTCAGATGCTGCCCTCAGTGCTGTCTCACATGGCTCTGCTTGTGCTGCATCCTTTGGTGCTGAGGTCTGGCTTTGGTCAAGCTGTCCTGAAAATGTAGTCACTTTTTGGGCAGCACCTGTGGCTCAATGGGTAGGGCACTGAATCCATATACTGAGGGTGGCAGGTTTGAGCCCAGCCCTGGCCAGCTAAAATAGCAGTGGCAACTGTAACAAAAAATTGCCAGGCATTGTGGCGGGTGCCTGTAGTCCCAGGTATTTGGGAGGCTGAGGCAAGAGAATTGCTTAAGCCCAGGAGTTGGAGGTTGCTGTGAACTATAACACCATGGCACTCTACCCAGGGCAATAAAGTGATACTCTATCTCAAAAAAAAAAAAAAAGGAAAGTAAAAAGAATATGTAGTCACTTTATAAATGTAGCTGATGAAGGCCCAGAGTTCACAGGGTGAGAGAAGGGCTATAGAGGGTTCCTGACAGGAGAGGCAATGGTGGGGGCAGAGCTGAGCCCACGTAGTCTATCTGGTATGCAGGGCGCAGTGCTGAAAGCCACACCAAGAAAAGCAGAGGAAGGGTCTTGAGGCCCTGGTTTCTCTTGTGTAATTTGGCTCAGATAAATCTTAATAGCATTTCAGAAATGTCTTTAGCACCTGCCCAGTTTCACTTTCTAGACTTGTTTTTCAGATTAATATGAGGGTACAAACAACTAAGTTGGAATATTGGCCTGTTAGGGAAGGTCCCTGTTGTAGCTGTGTCCCGCACCCAGGAGGTGTGAATGGACCCTTACGTTGTGCCCGTTAGGTAGGAGCACACCCATCCCTTCCCTTCTCTCTTTCTCCTCCATCACCTTCTAAACTTTTTTCTTTAAAAAAGCCTCTGACCTAAGGAACTAGAGAAAAATTTTTGTTTTTGAATTACACTAGTAAATTCCCATTATAAAGTGCTTAAACACTGCCAAGAATGTGAAGGACAATGTGAAAATATCTCACGATCCTTCACTTCCATTCTTATTTTCTCTTCTCCATCAATAAGGCTCATTCCTGCTGTATTCACCTGTGGGGGGAGGTGCTCACACACACATGTGCACATCACCACGTTTTGACTCCGGTTTATACCACGCTTCACTGTTTGTGATGTTCATTTCAGTCTCTGACATCTGCTGTGTTAATGTACTAGCCTGTTTCATTTGTCCTATGGCTTCATAATATTCAACAGTATGACTCCATTATAGTTTATTTAGCCCATCACATTTCATCGGGCATTTGGATTTTTCCCCCTAAAAACACTGTTGCATTCTTTTTGGGCTGTGTGTTTTCTGTAAGCAGACAGTGGCCTAGTAGGCGAGAGCTGCACATGGTCAAGTTCCAGCAGCCACACTCATTCAGCTTCTTCACAGAAAGTGGAGACTGGTGGTGAGCCCTCCTCCACAGCACTGCTGTGTTGAGGACTTAGAACATCACCTGACACACACATCAATAAGTGCTCACGTTAATATTGCTAAGAGGATATTCTGAAATGTAGCTTCATTTTCAAGTCATTCAAATGGCCCAGTTTTCTAAGAATAGTAATATAATATACCTGTCTACAAAAATAAGGCTTTTACCAGAAAGAATGCCAATTTCCATAATTGTAATAAATTCTATCAGAATTTATTTTCTAAATGTTCTTACTGTTTCAAAAACTATTTGCTATTATAGGTAAATGCCTGTCTTTTTGGTAAGTTCTTCCTTCATTTAAAAAAACTGATGTTTTCCACCTGTGGACCAATCTTAAACTAACATCACACTTATTTTCCTTGAATTGCTGCTGAGCCTAAATTAAGACACCAATACTAATTTAAGTTTTGTCATCACTTCTTCGTGAGTAATTATTTTGGAAGCTAAATCTGCTTTGCTCCTCAGGTTAATGAAAAGTAGCCTCGATGGAGATACCATCAGAACACAAAAGCTGTCTTTTATCATTAGAACAGTGGGCCGACACTTTCCTGGACACTTACTGGCATGGGATTTTGTCAAAGAAAACTGGAATAAGCTTGTACAGAAGTAAGTTTCCCAGGCATCTGCTGACTTTTAGTGTTCACAGGCTCTGCATGAAGAAAGTTCCCAGTGCTGTGTTTCTTCACTGGAGTTAAAATCTGCCCTGAGAGGAAGAATACTTCTGGGACAGTTTCAGTGAGACAGTAAAGAGTGGTCATGTCTGTGAACATGACTCTGTAGCATATGTTGTTCACAGTGTACCCACCAGGCACTGACGAGCCTAGCTCTGCAGGTTTTGTTGCTCAGGGTGGCCACAGGCCGGTGCCACTCTGCTGCCCAGCACCAGCTAAGGACTTGCACCCAGCTAGATGGCACATGTGGGTTTTTTCTTCTTTGTCTTGTTTAAAGCAATGATAACATTTCTGGGTATGTGGTGTGCTCTTTGAGCAGATTTAATGGATTCATAATTCATCTGGATGTCCCCAACTCCTCCCTGTCCCACTGCCTTTCTTCCCACTCCGGTAGCTTGTACCAGGGCTACCCAGGCTGTGAGCTGCTGCCCCAGAGGAGGACCCCCTTTGCCCTTGCCATGATAAAGCATTTCCTTTGCGCGTAGGGATAACGTTTTGCTTACCAGCAGCTGTCTCATTTTTTTTATCTCATTTTTGTGAATCTTCAGGTTCCCTCTGGGGTCTTACACCATACAAAGTATTGTTGCTGGATCAACTCACCTGTTTTCAACAAAGACACATTTATCTGAGGTCAGTTATATAAAACTCTTGTAGGGCGATTGGGTCACTCTTTTTCCCTCAGTAAGTGACACAGTAGTTAATGATACTAATTCCTGTCCCTTATCTGTCTTCCTTCATCAGTACTAATAATTCTGCTTTGTGGTTACTTTTAGAGGGTGGGATATATAATAATGAAAAATTTTGGTTTCTACCTCAACAATATTCCCTTGTGTCCCTGATACACATAATAAAATAAAAAGTAGAATTGGTTATTGTTTTCAAGAATTCTATTCACCAAGACTGACGTAGACCCAATCTTACTTGTTATTACTTGGTCATCTTATTCTGTTGTATTCTTGTTGGAATAAAGAAAATTCTTTTAAACATTACTTCATTTATCACCATACTTGATCAAGAACTTTATGTAATACTTTGAATATTAAAGTATTTCTTCTCTCTAGTGCTTTCAGGATATCAGCTCTGCCAGCACTCAGTTAAAGCTTATTTGACAAGGTAGCACATTACCTGTGGATCATTATCCTTTTCTTCCTTTGCAATAAATACTTCTATGTGGAACTTACAGGTTCAGACATTCTTTGAAAATCAGTCAGAGACAACCTTTCGGCTTCGCTGTGTCCAGGAGGCTTTGGAAGTCATCCAGCTGAACATCCAGTGGGTGGAGAAGAACCTGAAGGCTCTGACATGGTGGCTGTAGCATGACAGCTGCACCTCACCTTGTCACCCACTCAGAGAGCTGATAAACTTGGTCTCTGCTGCTTTTGCAAAAGCAAAGCTGAAGCCAGGCTGCTGCCAAGTTGTTTGCACTTGTGGGAGTTCTAGTTAGCTCAGGGCCCAACTGTATTCTTCATCTGTCTTTCTGAAATGTCTTTGGACGGTATGTAGTTATTTGTTATAGAATTACATTCATATATGCCAACCATCTACAGAAACAATGAGCAAATTTTTATACTTTGAAGATACACAAATGGAGGAAAAGTCTGTTTGGAATTCTGTTCTGTTCTGTTTCCAGAAAGTTACTGAACACAGTACAACAAGGAATGTCTACCCTCGGAGCCACTCCTGTGCAGGCCACTGCTTTGTCAGTGCCTGTTGCTTCTTGTTGGTATACATCATTGGAATGTGGCACAGAGTGAGCTCCAGGGGGTGTGACAAAAGACAGCAAAGCCTGCCTACAGGGACGGGCCTTGGCTGTGCAGAGCTGCTGTGATTGGAGATTTTGGTTAATCCTTTATCTTCTGAAAAATGTCTAAATATCTATATAAGTATTGTATCTTTTTCTGCAGAATACCCAGGTGCTACAAATTTTTAACTTTTTTGTTGTATTGAAAAGCTAAATAACATGGCCAAAAGGTTAATTTTTCCAAATATTTAATGCTTTTGTTTTCATTGTTTATAGTATTACCATATATAGAACTGTTCCAAACCAATTAGCTTTAATTATGTCATTCATGAATGCTGATATTCCCCAAATCTGTATGCCTTTATCACTGTCTGCTATAGATATATCTTATGTTATAGAGAAGTATTTCTACATTTGTGGCAAGGATTTTGCTAGCACTGATGTTTTTCATCATGGCTTTTATCACTATTGCTAAGAATGCAATTTAAGTTGTCTTTTGGCATCACAGATCACAGACACTTTCTCTCTGAATCATAGCCATGTGTGGATTTTCATTTTATATGATAGAGTAGCATATTAGAAGCATATTTTAAAATAGGGCCTTTCAGAAATTGAAATTTTTTATTTGAAGTTCACCATAGTACCTTAAAGGAACAGAAGGAATGGAGTATTTGAATTTGAGTTCAGACGTAGTGGGCTCTGAGTTTTTTCCATGTCAAAAATAGAACTTCTCTTTAGTTAAAAGTCATAGTTTTTCTTTTATTGTGGTCAAACTAACATTAAAAGGAGTGGTCAAAGGGAGAAAGAAGATAAATGAGGGAGGAATCCAAACTGTAAGGCATTTTTACTCCTTCTGAAGGGGAAATACTGTACTTGAATTTTTTGAGCTATGCAGACCTATACTTGGATTGTTTTTTAGTTTGATTCTTAGGAAAAAAGCTTTCTTCCTAATAATTGTTGAGAACTTTATATTTTGTTTTAAAATGGCTTCTATGTATATAAAAAGGGTAGTCACCCACTTGTAAGCACTTAAAACACTCCACAGAGTCAGATAGTGGAAAAGGTCACCTTTTTTTTATTCAGCAGGTGTGAAGTTAGAATATATGGGATTGTGTATAAAATTAAATTTTATTTTATGAAAATATTTTTGTATAATAAAATTTAAAAGGCTGACAAGCTAAAAATTAGCCTTCTTTAATCCTATTGTGTTTCTCCCCCATTTTGTCTTTTTTAAACATTTATCTCTCTGCTTTAGAGTAAAAGTCATATTCTGAGAATCACAGAATAACCTAAATATGTCTTTTTGAAACTGGGATGATTGTAAGTCTTTATTCCTCTTGTACTTTGGTAAATGATAATTTAGTTAATATTGAAAGTGAGGGTGTTTTTGTATTTTTAGAATGAGGGAAAAATACTAAACTTTTGAAGATTTTTTGATCGTTGCTGGTTTTTTACCATGTTGTGTTACTAAATTCCACTTTGATACAGAGTTTAAACTTTTACTCTTCACAGTGAGTTAAGATCTTCAGTTCTGCCTGCCAGTCTTGACATTGGTCCTAGAACGTGTGAAAATTTTGCATATGGCAAATCTCATCTCCAATCACATCATTTCCCTGTGTCTGTGTGTGGTATGGACAGGGTTGTCACAAGTAAAACTTTATTAAAACTCAGGCTGACAGTGAAGTGTCAGGATCCACGGCTTCTCCCCACGATGCCAGATTGTGACCTTTGTGGTTTTATTTGTGGTAGCTTTAGTAGGCCTCACCTCAGTTCTTCACAGATAATTCCATGATTTTGAGTATTAAAGTAACCCTTTCTATATGGGAGTTTTAAAAACTAGGTCTTTGTCAGGAACATAAGGTTAGAAGGTAGAAATTATAATATTAATATAATGGGAGCTTTCAAAGGTTTATTTTCCCCGAAGCCCTATCTTAGCCACTGTGTTTCTGAGAACCCACACGGACTCACTGAAGTGCAGGCTCCTACCACAGCTAAGTGCTTACTGAGTGGCTGTTCTGTTTTGTTCACTAAGAGAGGTGTTCTACTTGGATGTATTAATGAAAGTGACATCTTTTGAGATTATTGGGAGAGAGAGAATTGCAGATCTAGAGTTGTACAAGGAAAGTTTGTGCTTTGGAGATGTGAGCAGTGATACAATTGTAGCTGAGTGCAGCTGCTGTTAGCGCGAGGCGGGCATTGCCCGAGTGCGCCACCAGTTTGTGCCTCCATCTCACGTCAGCCTCACCTCAGTCTCTGTAAGTGAAATGTTGCTGCTTGCCATTGTTTCAATGACTGTGAACTTTTCTGCTATCACAGGTTCTTCTGAACTCCTCATTTTCTTTGCCCTGTGTGTTTTCATTGTGTGCTGCTGCCTGTACAAAGAGCTGTCAGGGAGCCCTGGGTGTAGGGGGCAGCTGCACTGCTCTCAATCCTATACTGAGTTCGGTGGGTTGCTGGCAGACTGCTATCAAGTTGGATTTTCAAAAGATTCTACTTAAACTAAAGCACCTGGAACCATCATCCGCAGACAGGTTGCTGAATGTTCACAGCATCCTTGTGTTCCCTCAGGCTGCTAGGAATGTGTGTATGTCTCAGACACATCGTCACCCAGGAATATAAGGTACAAATCATAGTATTAATATAATGGAAGCTTTCAAAGGTTTATTTTCCACAAAGATTAGAAGGTTAAATTAAGGTTTTAATTTAAGGAGTCTCTGAGTCGCAGAGGCCACAGATCTGATTAGATCCTCTTCTCACCTTTGACTTTATTATTTTTGCCTTTATTGGAATTAACTCTCTTTTAAAGAGCTAGCTTCATTCCCCACCCTCTGTGTATTTTCGAAAACTGAGGTGTATGTCTTGCTGGTTTCCACCTTCTGTGTTGCTCACCGCCTTCTGCATTGCCTGATGCGCTGCAGGTGGGGAGTGCAGTTGGCCGTGCAGCCCCTTCTCCCCGACCCGTGTTGCCTGTAGGGCAGCTGGTGGATTCCTATGAGTGGTTTGGGGGTGATTTACTTTTAAAATGTACATATGTGTTCTTGATGGTTTTATTGTCTTCCATTTTACATGTTTTTGTCCTGATGAAAAATGATAGGCATTGTCCTTCAGCATCTCATTCTCCCTTCCCTTCCCTGTAGCAGCAGCTGCAGAGAAGTTACTTGGCTCCTTTTCTTGAAAGAGGTGGTGGTGTTGAAAGGAGAGCTGTGTATGTTCTTTGAAAAGTGTGTACAGATGTCTGTGCTGCTATTTGGAGAATGTGATGCTGTGTTTCATTCGTCCTGCTGGTGGGCATGTGGGTGGGCATGGGATCCTGACCCATGAACAGAACAGCTGTGGCTGCTACTGTCCGGCCCCGGGCCAGGCTGCCTGCCAACCCACGGCTCTGTGCCTCTTCATGCTGCTTCCCATGTTCCCTGGCATGCTTGTCTGTCTGCATGGGCTCATGTGTGCTCACAGAAACAGCTGCTCTTTCACTTTGCCCTTACTGCATCTTAGGCAAAGGTGAGGCAGCTGGGCTGCCGAAGAAAGTGGTGTCCACTCAGCACACGGGAGTGTCCTTGCTGCCGCCTGTTTCACAGCTCCCTCAGTTCTCTGTCCTTGTGGACACACAGGCACCTCATCAGGTGTGGAGGTGCCACCTGTGGCGGCCCCCACACAGGGCAGCAGTGACACAGCAGTGACCAGCTGGATTCTGGGAGCAGGCGAGGGGCAGGGCTGGCAGCTCAGCGCACCAGTGTTTCCACTGCCACACTGTGGACCTCAGAGTTCTGGGCACATTTCTCCTCCTTCCGTAGTGCCACAGGGGCAGTGCATGTAGAGTAGTTTGAGGGGTTCGAAGGGTTTTTGCTAGGGGAGAGAAGGTGATTTCAGGGTAAGGTTGTATTTTTAAAAAATGTATATAAATGTTTTTACTACTTTTTTGTTAGCTTGTTTCTTGCCTTGTTTTTCAAATGGGCATGTCATGAAAGCCAAGGTTCAGTCTGTTCGGGTCTCCTTCTCCCCTCCCTATTGCCCATGGACAGGATCTAGAACCACGTAGGGGTTTGTTTTAGGAGTTCTTTTGTGGGTATTGGGGTGTGTGCTTCTGTAAATATTTGCACATGTATTTACTCCTTATTGTGTGTTTCCCTGGAGGCCTGTGCAGCCGTGTGCAGCTGGTTCCTAACGGATGTGGAGCTCTGCTCCTCCTTGTCTATATGGGGAAATTTTAAAGTAGTTTAATTTCCTGAAGTTGTGGGGGTGGAGGGGTCAAGGCCAGGATGTGTGCACAGGCCTCATTGCTGTGCTCTGTTGCTCACCTGTACCCGCTGCTGCAGGCACCTGCTGACACAGGTTCCCAGAGCACGGTCTCCCCTCCCCCGCTTCTGTGTGGCATCTGTAATGTGCTTTGGTTTCCTTCAGTGCCCTCCCAGGAAGATGGGGCATGCACTTTTAGAAATGTATATAAATGGTTTTTGGTGTTACTTCATTTTGTACCTATATCGTTCCATGGACACTTAGGTACGTAATGAAAATCGAGGTTCATTCTATGAAAACATCACCTTCTCCCCTTCCCGTATTGCCCGTTTGGGCAATGGCTGATAGAGTAGTTGTTTGGGGGTTTTGTCAGGGGGGTGGGGGATTTGGGGGTTTGTATCTTCTTAAATGTATATAAAAGTTTGCTGGGATTTTTTTGTTCCTTCACTCCTGACTCAGACTCTTGTTTGGGATTGAGACCCAGTCACAGGGTGTGGTGGGCCTTCCTCCCCACTGCAGCCTATGTTCAGGCAGCAGTAAATGCGCACTGTGGGGGTTGGGTTTTGTTTTTGAGATTTATAATGAGGAGTGAGCTTATTAGAAAGAAATGACAAAATATGTGATTTTTCTACTGTATATAAATGTTTTTACCCTTTGGGGTAAAAGTTCATTTTGAATCTAGTTCTTTGCATAACTATTTAGGTACTTTGTGGTGATAAAGTTGCAATTGACTCTGAAAACTGTCCCATCCTCCCCACCCTTCATCACACAGTGGTAGAATAGATGTTTGGTTTCTTTGGGAGGGGCAAGTGCACATACATACATACACATTTTAATGTCCATGAGTGCATGCTACGTCCTGTGTATCATTCATGTTGTGCCCAGTCCTCTTATGGGACTGGTGGGCTCAGAGCAGAACACGGAGGTCCAGACGTATGATAACTCTCCTGCTTCCCTTCCCTCGTTGCCTGAACGGGCAACAGTTTCATAACTTGGGTTTGTTTTTGTGTGGGGAGGGGTTTTTTGGGTGGGAAATAACTAGGGCAGTGGTTCTCAACCTGTGGGTTGTGACCCCTTTGTAACAATGAAAATACATCCTGCATATCAGATATTTACATTACGATTCATAACAGTAGCAAAATTACAGGTACGAAGTAGCAACCACCACAATATGAGGATCTATATTAAAGGGTTGTGGCATTAGGAGGCATTAGGAAGGTTGAGAACCACTGAACTAGGGGGATAGGACTGGGTATATACTTTATGAAGATGTATACAAATGTTCTCATATGTGGAGTCTACACCTGGCCCTTGAGCAGGTGTTAGCACTTAAGGAAAATTAAGGATCAGTGGGGGACAATCCCCTTGTCCTATGTAGGCCACAGTGAGAAGAATAGTTTGTGTTATTTACTTGTTTGTTCTAGAGGGATTTATATTTTTGGTAGGGAAATACTCTCTTTTTTTGAAAAAAAAAAATTTTTTTTTTGCAGTTTTTGGCCGGGGTTGGGTTTGAACCCACCACCTCGAGTATATGGGGCTGGCATCCTACTCCTTTGAGTCAAAGGCACCATCTGGTAGGGGAATATTCTTTATAAGTATAAATATGTTTCTATGTCTGTGTTATTTCACTTTGTATTTAGTCTTGTGCATGGCTATATTAGGGGTATAATAGAAACTGAGTTTCATAATACGATAGATCACCTTTTTCCTACATATTTCCTTATTTCAGTAGCTAGCATTGTTGTTGTTTTGTGGGTTATTGTGTTTTATTCTCCATGACTTGCTTTTAAGGACATAGGCATATACACATATGCATAATTTGCTTTCCCTGCCCCCCATTATTGCCCTTTAATGCTTAGTCCTTTACAGGGCTCTGAATGTATGTAACACAAATAAAGGCCCGTAAATTCCTGCCAGCTGGCTTTTGAAGATCTAGCAACGTGGGTTGTAACTCACAGCATCAGGTGAGTGGCAGCTAAGAGGGAGGGGACACTTGGATGTGGCCAAGTGGAGAAAGCTAATCAGATCCACCATTTCTTATGTTGATTCAAACTGAATGAGGTGACAAAGGACCTGTGCTTTTATAAATTCTAGAAAGACAGGAGGACAGACAGTACTGAGTAAAAGTGTGTCTGCACATCACTGCTAATCAGTCTTTCAGTACCAGGCAGACAGTGACGCTGGTGAGCAGGTGAGAGTGCTATGTAGGACACGCGGGAAGACCAACAGTAGTTGCTTTTGGAGGCCTGGAGTTCTGATTCATTTATAGAAGTCTTTTGCAGTTCTGTAAATAACATTCTTATGTACCCTGTAGAAATTATTTTGATTCTTGGAATGAACCTTATGAGTTATTGCCATGGCTCCATAAATGACAATATGGACCCAAAGACTAATCCAAAAAGAATTTAAGGGGCAAGCCCTTTCCTTCAACCCACACATGTGGCAGGCCCAGTTGGCCCTTTCCTGCCCAGAATTCTTCTCTGTGGCTACATCTCTCCTCAGCTTCCATTAGCTGTTCCATTCCTGCTCTTTTTTCCATTTCATTTTCAGTCCTGAACTGTGAGACGTCATCTTTGATAGCTCTCAGAACCTTAAGCAATACATGAGCCTGTGCTGTGTGTGTCCCATGTGTCCATTGCATCCTGTGCATCCCAAGCTGTGTGTTAATTTGGCATTCCTGCTCATCGTGTGGATTCACCACGCGGTAAAGGTAGCTAGCGTCTGTCTGTTCGCATCAGAGGAGGTACACACAACCATCTGTCTCTCCCACTTAGCTGTCCTCCATGCATCTTGGCATTATGTGTTTGTATTTATAATGATGCTACTCCATGCTGAAGATTTGCCATATTATTATTTTAGAAACATTGATTGAAAGGATTCCTAGAAAATTTGCAAAGAAATGTTATTTGCATATCAAACTCTCAGGTTTAGTATTAAAAAGTTAGCCTGTACTTTGCTATACTTGTACCTGCTTCTATGGGAAAAATAAAACTTTATTCACGACACATTTAACTTTGTTCACAAAAGAGAAAGGGGCACCTTTTTGCAGTTAGTCATGGTAGTCATTAGTGATACTTCTGAACAGCTCTTAAAGGACTTCTAAGGAAGTAAAGGTCATGGCTTAGCCGAGTGAAATGTGCCAGAAGTTGGACTGTATGACCCATCAGGACAGTAACACGCTGTGTGTGTGTATGAAACAAGAATTACAGCATAATTGGAGAGTTTCACATTGGGACGAACAGTCTCACAGCTGTCTTGATTAAAGCCAAGTGTGCCACTTGGCTGTGAGGAATAGTCTCTTTCAAGTACTTGGGAACTTGTAAAGATACTGCGTTTTATATTTAAACACCTACAGAGTTCTTCGGTTCCCTGAGTCTGAGCTTGTTAATTCTAAATTTGTATGATAATCTTGTCTTTTGTGGAATATTTTGAAAACATTATGTATATATAATATTGTATATGAAAATTGTGTTGTTTCACTTGTAAAGGGAAAGGCTTATTTTTCTTTATATTTCTGATAACTTGTTTTGCATATGACCAGCACTGACTGAGGGCATGTTGAACTGCGGGCACTGTTGCGCTTTTTTTGTGACTGAAAATAAAAGTATTTAAATACAAATAATCATGTGTACTCTTTGGATTTAAAAAACCACCATATATAAAGGGACATTTCCTCATAGATCATGAGTTATACCAGGGCAGCCCCGTATTCCTGCCTTTTGTCCTGTTTTCCCACCCTCAGCACCCTGAGTCTTCATTGCAAGTAATTCCAGGTCTTTCAAACTCAGACTCTTGACATTTGGGGCTGGATGATTCTTTGTTGGGAGGAGCCAGCCAGGTGCCAATAACAGTCCTCCCACCAAGGTGTGACATCCAGGGTTGCCTCCAGACATTGGCAGATGCCCCTGGAGCTGAATGGGGAGGTGCTCAGACTTCCAGAGCATGCCTAGGGGAGGGGACTGAGTAACTTTTAGGGAAGCTCAGTCCAGTGCAATTATTTGCTTTTTGGACTAAAGCAATTCTTGTAAACACTCTGATCACCCAAGTAGCCAACTGATACGGTAATAAGACAGTGCCTAAATCAGCATGAGACATGTAATTTCTTAGGCCAGCAAAACCAAGGAACACTTGCACTCGTAGCTCAGGTGAGACTGCGGGTGTTATCAGGGAGGTCCTTGCTCATCCCTGTGAAGCTGGAATGGACCCTGCACCATACACTCTTGGTTAGGTCTGCAAATGGATCCCTTTGTGCTCACCCCATGAATAATCTTGAGGAAGAACTGAGAATTTCTTAGGCTTCCAGATACAAGAGCTAAAACCAGTATTCTTTTCAGTAATTATTAGAATTTAACATTGGACATTTGATAGCAAGTGTAGCAAGTCTCAACTCTCATGCCCCAAATCCTGTTTCTGGGAACACAAAACTTTGATTCCAATCCCTTCTAAAATCTCTTATGTATGATCATTACTAATGTATATAGGAAATGCTCTGAGAAATTGTGGGATTTTTGATCAAAAGCTTCTGCTTAAATTTTTATGCTTTTGTATTTGTGAGCAGTAAGTAGCTGAACTAAAACCCATTATACAGTCAATGTAAAGAGGACTGATTACAATAAACTTCCCAGATGGATAGTAGTTAACTTTACTCTATTTTTCAAAATTATTTCCAGAACTTGGCATAGAAGAGTGATCTGTTCATATCTCATTTTTGCTTCACTTATTCATTCTTAACACTACCACCCCCCACCCCACCCCGCCAACACACACACACATGGTCCCTGGTGTTCATGGAAACTTGGGTGCAAGTTGACAGTTGAGTGATATTCTATGAAGAGTTGTTTATTACCAGAGAGGAGAAACATACTTTTAAGTCATTAATTACAGTCCACTTCTGGATCTCATGATTGGCAAAGCATTTCCATACTGTGCTTGTTTACATCTATTATGACAACGTCCAGTCAACCAAAGTCCAGCTGAACGTGGCTGCACTTTAGGGACCCTGTGATTTCTGTTATTAACTGAGCCAAACTACATCGAAGTCCAGGCTCATAGACACAACGAGTTTCCTTCTTGCTTTCGCACATATTTTTCTGAAGGGAGGGCACAAGGTGACAACGTAGTAAAAGAGCAGTGTCATGGCTGGACTGTCCAGGAGCAGGCGACAGTCTGGAGGCTCCAGTCGACAGGAAGAGGACACAAGAGGCCACAGCAGCACAGCAGAGGCTGCTCAGGGTTGTGGGCTGCTCACCACAGTAACCACGTGTGTGCACACCCAGTGTGGCACACCCATAGCCCCTTTGCCTGGTGCCTTCCAAGAGGCTGCAGACCCAACATCACATGAGG